GCCCCATGTACAGTAACAGTGGCTGGGCTCTAGATGTACATGATGTACCTTCCTTGATCCTACAAAATCCTCCTCTGTGCAGGAAACCAATGGCACATTCTTTGTACTTTCTCCACGGGCATCAAGCCCAATGTAAAGTAAAAGTGGCTGTGCTCTTCCTTCTCCAATCAATCAAAATCATCCAATGACCTCCTGGTGGATTCTAAAGGATAGGGGAAGGCTGTAGGAATTTACCGTTCGACTGAGATTCTTCTTCATTTCCGCTCGATGGAGCAAGACCAGTTTAACATCTTGATCCAGCTTCAGACATTCCTGGACGTACTCATAGCTGCTCAGTTTCACATCGCTGCAACGCAAAAAACCAAAATGACCTCACATGACCAAACGTTATTCACTGCAAACAATAGGAACAACTCAGACTATTTTGAAACCACGCCATAACGGCATTAACACCGCTGTTTGTGCACACATTCCTAAACTTCACACAAAACAGGCAGGGCCAAATTTCAAAGCGCTGCCAAGAACACAGGTTTACACTTTTACAGGGTGTATTTCATAGAAACGGTAAGCGGTAAGAACAGGGAAAGGTGCGCTAACTTCAGAGAAAAGAATTGCTTAATTGGGTGACATAACAATGGAAATCTCCAAGAGCATCCATGCAATTTTTGTGCTAAGCGTAGCAACTGTGAAGTGTTTGCCGTGAAATATGCTTACTGTCAGACTAATTTTTTTACTACTGTTAGCAAAAACATTTGCTTACAGTGAGAAGTGCCGTGAAATTGAGCCCAAGTGACAACACACTATTAGGTTAAAAAGGCAAGTTGAAAGCTTGATGCAGGCATCCACCTGTACTCAGGAATGATATCACTACAATACTGGCTTCTGTTCCCTTGCTCAAAATGAAGTCTGTCCCTGGTCATTTGGGAACGGCAAAACATGCAGGCAAGGTCTGCCCTATTAATCCAGCCACATGCCGACTCACATGCATGCTTTATTTTCACATGACCTTGCCTTATCAAAATACTAAACTGGTTGCTTTTTGCACAGTCTGTGTTGATTTTTTAATAAATTTTATCAGTTTTTACTATATACAGAGAGAGTGTTTCTTGCGCCATTTTAACGGGAACATTTGTTCTACTGTGATCATGCTTCCAGGCAAAAGGGCGTATGTGTGCTTACGACCTTTTCCCGGGCACAGAACGAAATATGGGTACTTGGCACCGCTATAATCATTGCCCCAATGTTTCTTGAGCTGCCTTTTGGAGGGAGCTTGATACTTACTTGTGGAGGTATTCCGCGAGACCGGGGACCTTCAGGACAAAGGCTTCACTGGAGATATCGGACACTTCTTCGTGGCACAGAGCCTGACTGATCACATGCTGCACATAGATGTTGACTGGGAAAGAAAAACAATTCCAAAGTTGGAGCTCAGCTCTTTTCTTTTTTTTTTTTTTGGTAGCTCACTTGAATAGCTTGTGAATTCAGACAGGAAGTCTCGTGTTGGTCTTGTAGTGGTCTTGTGGCAAAGGTGTTGATTATGGTACAATACTGTCATGTACAGGGACTGTTCATCTCCATCCTTGATTAGTATGCGTAAACCACATCTACAAGTTTACAGAAAGTCCACAAATGTGAACAAAGAGATACATGTAGATCAAAAAAAATCTTGAAAAAGACATGTTATTCCTTTTTGTGGATGTGTGAACCAAAAAAGACCCCAAAGTGTGAGTAACAAACACTTTGTGTGGACTGGCACAGGTCAGAACAAGGTTTCCCTTTCTGAAAAACAGTTTGAGAAGTAGTAAGCAGTGGTAAGTGTCAGAATTATCTGCAAACTGTGGAAAAATTATAAGAAATATTCGCAGAGCTTCCTGGTCGAACAACTGTCAGTGGGAGTAAAATTGGCCAATTTCTCTTCAGGTTTCTTCACTACGTGGGAAAAATAGGAAGGTCGTGCCACGCAAGACACAAATCGGTAAAAACACATGCACGTACATATACAATGCGTTACCATGGCTACCTAGCGTGGACATTCATATGTTTTCAAGTAGTAAAGAAAACTTGGTGAACATATTTATTTTGCACTGTGAGCACTCTTTTAACTTGAATTTTTGATGATGTTTCCTTAACCATTCCGGTTATCCCGAAAGAGGGTAACCTAGTTTGGACCTGGCTTATAGTCCACACAAGGTTCGCACCACCTGCATTATGTGGACCTCTTTTGTTGATGTGTCCCGTCTTGGTATATCAGGTTGGAATAGACGGTTTTCACTCACCATCACAGGTAAAGACGATGGGTTTGTTGGTTCCCGATTGCAGGAGTACCACTTTGACACTGGTTTCCATGTCAGCATGGTAGTGGTTGATGAATACGGGGCTGTGAATGTAGCCTGGGTTGGTGACAGCGTCATCGGCATTGTAATGGTTTCGGATTCTGAATAACAGTGCAATGAAAAGTGAAATAAAACCTGGCTGATGACGACTGTTGTGAGGAAGCACCTCACATCTTGGACCGGTTCCTGTCCCGTACGTAGGGACCAGTAGCGGGCAATGAATCTGGCAGAATTCTGCTGGGTGTACGAGAATGAGAAACCGATGCCCGCTCAATGCACAAATCAAGCAGGAGCTGATGACATATTTTGCTTTTTCTTTTTCGTTACCAAAAATAGCCTCACCAAAAATTGTTCATTTATCTAAAATTTAACACAAAAACCACCAATTTGAAATAAAATACCGTAAAATGATTCATCGATGATAATCATAAATAAATTACCCCACTGTGATCGACAGAGGCTTAGCAAGGATAAGTACTTGTGTTTTATTCGCCTCCCTGCTGAAACCTAATTCACCTGAAAACATTGCTATTGGCTTGAGAAAAATTTAAATATTCAGCATCCAAATTGACAGGGCTAATTGCAGACCTTTAACCGCAGGTACAGGTACATGTAGCTACCGGTGCCTATATAATAGGGACAGGGACCAGTCCACCTGGATCTTCATCTTTCGATATAGGCAACTCACAACACAGCACGCCACCAAGAGGTTGTCATGGACAAGCCTTTTCGCAGTGCATTATTGGATAAATTTGACAAAGTCTCATTCGCTATTACTGGGCTGTGCACAGAAGACTTGAATTTTTCCGAATGTTTGTTTATCTTGTTGAAAATTCGAAATTAATTTTTGTGAATGGGTGTTCGGTACAAACTGACAGTTTTGTGTGGTGTTGGGAATGCCTCAATCAATCAAATATCCCCAAATTACATGTACGTACAAAGTGCACTTAATCGCGGCAACGTGTCGACCATAAACTTGAAGAGTGCCCTGCCTATGGCAAACTCGAGGTGGCACTCAGTATTGTGAGCTGCCCGCATTAACTCCTTGTTGACAGTGATATTCCACGACAAGGTTTGTTCCAGTCGCAGTACGGTATTATTCTCAGCTGAAAACATTTCTTCAAATTTCTTGTCAATTATTTGCTCATCGTCGTATCATAACCTTAACTGTGTTTGTTGAAATCATGCATGGATTGAAACTGAAACATGCAAATACACAGACAATGTAAACACTCTCTACAAGAAATTAAATACTCCAAAGATTTGAAAGCTCATTAACAAGTACTCGTACTCCTGGGCCGAATTACATGTACACTCCATGTAGGATATGCTTGAACAAAAAAGAAAAAAAGGGAGTAAACTCAACTTGAAACAAAGTCAAGTTGTGGTCCCATGCTCATGTTTAGAGCTCTCAGCTGGAAAAATTACTCCTACGCTTTGCTTTTAGTCGTATTCCTCCTTTTGAAAGCTTATCAAAGTTCGATCGGATTTCCTGGGACATTAATATTCTGTCAAAAATACCAAAGCATTTTGACAGGGCCTTTGTTATTTAAAATGTCTGTCAAAAGTCCGCCTCTGTTATGCATTCTGAACATGTGGCCAATTCCTTGTAAGTTTCACAGAAAAATCAAACCCCAAAAGAAAGAGTGGCTTGGTTCTACATGTACCTTCCTCATTCCTGCAAAACCTAAAAAAAACCTGTTCTGGATTTTCAACAGGGCTCAAAATAGGCTTAACCCCACGAACAGCTCGAGCTGATAATAAGGAAATAAATCTGTGCTTGGCCAGTCTTAAACACTGCAGACAGGGTTGGAAGAATTGTTACTTTGTACTGATAATGAGCCAAACCAAAACCGGGGGACGTCATCATCATAACAATAACGTTTATTTTAAAAAAAGCTTTCGATACTACATGTAAGTACATTGTACATGTACATGTAGCTCAAAGGCTAAATACAATATACACCTTAAAAGCAAAACAGAACAGATAATTATATACATCATTACAACACAATTACATCTGGGGCCGAGTCAATTTGAATAATTCATTATTTAAATATTCCATCTTCAATATGATCGAATATCTGAATATTTGGTTGTACCGACAGGCAGGTTGTTGACGAACAAGCCACATACTGGTACATCACACGTTCATACAAAATTAGTTGCAATGACACACACCAAATGCATTATGGAACCACGATTACAGCTTCTCAAGTCTAGGAATATCTCCAGCCGCAATTTAGCAAGATCAAAGACACAAACAATACTTCATGCCCTGTTGAGAATTTCCATTCCTTTTAAATCTTTCGATGAATAATTTACCTTTGAATCGTTGTCACTTTTCATTTGAATCTGCTTGAAACAATCCTCCACAGTGCAATTTTTCTCATTTAAAACAACAGTAAATTCTCACTCCCTCGTCATGAATTCTGCATTCGAATATTCAAATTAGGAAAACAGTATTTGAATATTCCATAACCAATCATATATTCGGATATTCAGCACAGCCCTGATTATGCCAACAGTTTAAACCTAGTTAAAATACTGATTACAAAGGAATTGTTTTAGGCGCCTTTTAAAACAATTGTATGATGCAGACTGATCACTGTAAACTTATCTATTCCACAGTCGAGGTGCACAAAATGAAAAGGCATGATTGGCGTCAAAACTGGCAACTCTTTCTACTGGCTGATGAAGCCGAATTGTTCCCTCTGACCTTGATCGTGACTTTCGATTAGTCACTCAAATTGAGGTCATTCATATACAGGTGCTTTACAATTCAACATTTTGAAAACCAAGCACAGAAGTTTAAATTCACACATCTCTGCTTTGTCAAAAACCAATGCAATGTTTGCAATACAGATGTAAGATGTCCTTGGGCTTTAATTTTCATCAACATTCGGGCTGAAGAGTTTTGAGTAAGTTGCATTTTTTTAAAATCCTGATCAGGAACTCAAAAAGGTAAACTATTGCCATAATCGAGTTGCCACAAAGGCATTTATAAACCAATTTTTCAGTGGAATCTTGATCCAATAAACACCAAATTATACCAATTTTCCATAAAGCATAAGATGCAGCTAGACTTACATAAATTCACAACATGAACTGTCAACTGTCACACAGATACATATATTTGCCTTACAGAAAGTCAAGCCCAAATCATGCACACTCTCCGAAAGAGAAATGTTTAGTTTAAACTACCCATCAGCACGTCACATTTACCAGTACATGTACATGTATGTCCATTTTCCTGAGCAGGTCTAAAACAAACATTTACATGTTAAGGTAAGACCGACCAAGTACCAGTACGAGTTCCTATTTATTCCTTATCATAGCTACCTTTTCTCAGTCAGAGAGTCAAATTAAATTTTAAGAATTTTACACTTCCAATGATTTTGTTCAACAGTTCCAAGTTCTTCTGTACATGCATGTACATGTACATGTATGTTGCAGTGCAAAAGCTTACATTGTACATGTATGTACAGTACACTTGGATTGAGAGAGCTTAATGACAAGTTTTAAGACTTTGCCGATTTTTGGCACAGCTTCTCCTTCTGAAGTTGATGAGCCAACTATTTCCACTTTATTTTACATACACATGAACCTGCCGAATATTAATAAAGTGCTAAAGTAGCTTAGGTTTTCTGATTGATCAGATACATACAGTACTTGTAGAAAAGCAATGGAGGGATTGCACTTCACACAGTTTCAATGGTTCCCTGTCATGTAAAAGGAACTATTGCAGAGTACCAACTGCAAGGGGTCTATAATTGCCAGTAATATACATGTGCAATGTATAAAAGTCTAAAAAAAACTGTTGTTTAAACACTTGCAGTTGAAGTGCATAATTTTTAACCACAACCACACCAAGCAGGTTCCAAAGCGATATGTTTTACTAGTACATTTGGAATTTTGCCAAATAAATTCAAGTTACTCTGGACTGGAACAACATCACAAGGGAATGTTGGTGCTTTGCCAAACAGAAAATCCATAAATCAAGGAAGGAAACTTTAGCTGCCATGAAGAAGTAAGATGGAAGCTCTGGAGGAATAAACTGTTTGGGGGAAACCCCGGTTGGACAGGCCAAGCGGGAAAACTTAACAATCAATAATTGAGGTCTTGCTTTTTGTATAGATGAGTGATTAATGTCGTAACATTCCAAAAAGGAAATTACAGCACATGCTTTTCTCTTCAGTTTCTGACCGATGTGAGCCTGCTCTAACTTTTCATTAACCTTACACATTCGGCTATTTTTCCCCGTCGCATGAAGCTGATGACTGATTTTCGGAATGCTTTACCCTTGTAAATTAAGTTTCCTCGTAGAGTTTTTACCATGATTTTTCTTTTTACTTTTTTTCCACATAAGAATGAGAAATTACCAACTTTCCGCTCTCCAGTATGCATTTGATCAGTGAAAATATGAGCAAATCGAGTTGTCAAAGCAATGTTCTGTTAACCCCTTCAGGCCGGGATGCGTTAAGACACGCCGTAAAAATTGAGATCCTCAGCCCGCTTTTCAGCTATTATTCTCGGCCCACACTCGAACGAACACAGTGAAAGAAGGCAGATCCTTGCTCTGCTTGTGTATATGGTAATTGGTCTTTGTGTGTAGCCCAGAAATGAAAAGACCGATTTTGCATCATAATCACCAGCTTCACAATAGAGAAAAAAAAAACAATTGAAAAGAGGCAACGGGAATGTGGAAGCTTGAGTAGAGCCGCATGCCACCGAACAATCAGCCTTTTCACCGTGTAATTCCAACTCCAACCCTACATGTACACGCTTTCATTACTTTCTCGTAATTTTAACAAAATTCCTCGCATATATCCGTTCTGTACATACATGTACATTTGCTTGCACAGATTATATGCATGTCGTCTGCTGGCCCAATGTACCGGTACACTGTACATGACCATTGGTGCATGTCACCAAGTGCAAAGAGGCAATGGTGGACTAACCTGGCAACGGTTGCAGAGAAGGCAGATGCTTCTTCGTCCTTCTCGGTTGCCAGGTCAAACAGTCCGTCACCGAAGAACACCCGGGCAGCCTGGCAGGAAATAATACAAGTACAGAAAAACAAGAAACATTTATTTCCATAATGTGACAAATTTCCAATACAATACAACGAAATGAATTAGTAAATACATATCGATAGGTTGGGGTGAAGCAAGAACAGTAAATTTGTCGGCAATTATGAAGGCATCTGCCAAAGCAAAGGGGCTTCGTCAACACAACATCGATAGAAAAACCTTTTTCATGCCTCCAAAATTCTAAGAAACCTCCTGAAGAATTTTGACCAATCTGAAAGTGACATACATGTACATTGTAAGCTTAGATTTTGAGACACAAATGCATAGCTGTTGGTATATTTTACTTTGGGCATACCTGTATGTACGTTTGACAAATAGACCAGCAGCTTTCTGATGTCAAGATCGAAAACAGTGAAATTCATCGTCCTTTTTGTTCCAAATTCATTCCCATTTCAAAGCTGGAAATATGATCCTTCCTGGTGCACGCTTCTGATACACAACTTTGACCAATTCAAATTGACTTTCTTACGAGACAAGATAGATAACTCTAACAGGCTCCGGTAAATGGACAAGAAGTGAGCGGACGTTAACTTGCTCTTAAACTCTGAACCCTCTAGCCGATCTACGGTATCAGCACCCATGGGGCTTTCCAGATTCCAGTTAGCAGTCGCCAGGATATTTTCAAGGGGAGGGTAGGCAAAGCACTCATCCGTAGCAAACTGACCAACCCTCCACAGTCAATTCTGAGGCATTTTCAAGCAAAGTGGTGACTTTCATCCCTTTTTCGTCCTTTCATTTCTTTCCTTTTTTCTTTTTTTTTTCCCTACTTTGTTGTTCAAAGTTTCCAGGGGACAAGCACCCCCTTTCCATTGCTATCACCACTAAATAGACACAGCCCGGGTCACATCAAAGAAATTTGACCTTGAAAGAAAAAAAAAAAAGACAAAAATCCCGGAAGACCGTCCCGATCTATATTTGCCAGTCGAGCAACTAAGGGGGGATAGTGCCCCCCCCCCCATTTGAAATGCAAGTCACACTTCATTGGCTTTGGGCACCCTCCCCCCACACAAAATGCTACACCCCTAGGTGTCCCCTAGAAATTTCACCCTACACCTACATGTACTGATACTCCATGTAACTACAGTACAGCACGTTGACAAGGTAAAATCCCATTGAAATGGGACAAAAATATCATGGCTGACATCATCGAGCCATTACCTCTGTCTTCTTCCCCGCTGACAGTGTGAACATTGAACCAGGCATCCACGGTTCCGGTTTGGCCATGTCAGCCCCCGACAATGGCCGAGATGCCACCACGCTCTTGGCCCGCCTCGTCAACTCTGGCTTCCCATCAACCCCGGGACCTGAAAAAAAAATAGGAATAAATCAGTGCACCATTCAAATTGAAATTTTCTGCCCACTCTGTAATTACATACGGGTAGACCAGTGCTCACAGATGCAGGCTTCTGAGTTTATTCTTATAGCAAGACCCTTTTGGAAAAATGGTCAGAAATCAGACTGTGGCTTATTTCCAAGGGCACTGTCTGAGTTAGTTTCTAGGGGTTACAAATAACCAATGGGCCAGTATAATATTCCAACCTGCTCAAAATGGTACAGTACACGTCTTAAGGTCAATTGACAACAGCAATGGGCAAGTTTGTTGAAGGACCACTACATGTAGTTAACAAGTGGTTGGTTCCTGACATACATGTATATGTATATGCTATATGTGAAGTTGAAGTGCAGTGAAGTTGAAAAGCGAACGATTGCGTCATTAGCTTGAAAAGGAGAAAAGGTGATCACAAGAAGGGCAAAATAGCAAAATTAAAAGTTAGAATGGTTGTTTATAAATCATATATTGTTTTTTCAGCATTTTTCTTATAACTGGCCTCTCTGCACTGTACTATTAAAATGACTAATGGCAACCAATGATGCAGCCAACCTCAATAGGCTGGTAGCAAACACATGAAGGTGACTAGACTGGTCTAACCATCATTGACTAGCCTGCATTCAATCAGAGTTAGTCAAAGTTGAAACTATTGTTAACTACATGTATGGTCCTTGATCGAATTTGCACTATTTATGAGGTCTTCCCAAAATGGAGCACACCTACATGTAAGGCAATTTGGGAATACAGCCAATATGCCAATTTACAAAAGACCCTGCCTTTTTTGAAACACTAAAGTGGTTCGTTCATAGAATCAACAAAATTCTTGTGCTAACCTCTGGCATATTTTGCACACAAGACAGGTTAGTGTTGGGGGTCATATTTTGGAAACAAATTTCACAGAGAACCTAACTTCAAAAGTTTGTCAAGTACTGAAAATCCTTGTCACGTATATATTGCGACTGACCAGTTCCTGTTGATTTCCGAAATTTCTGCAATAGATACCAGTAAGTCTGTCAAATTGGATAGATTCATCTTGGAGGTTTGAGCCATTTTTTTTTACCTGGTATTAGTACATGTATTCAAGTTACAAAAAGAGAAACATGTTTGACAAGTACATGTGTGTTTCACTTGACTACAATTTCTACGGTATGCTAGTTCTACCACTCTAGAAAAGAACAAAATCAAATTTTTTTGTTTTCTACTCAGATCTTGAAAAGTCTGACCAAACCTTTTTTTGGCTGAACACATTTAGAAAGGTGGGGATTAGTGAACCAATAGTCCAATAAAAGCTGCCCTTTTCTCTTCTCCAAGTCATACATAAACATGTGTACACGTACAGTGTAGGTATTTGAAAATATTTGTTGTTTAAAGAATTAAACAAGGATGCTTCCTTTTGCAAGATGTTTGGAAACCTGATGCTGTTCAGGAAGGAAATTATGCTTTAATGTCATGTGCATGATAACAGTTGACTTATTAACCTCAGGAATAACTCAGAAGAGTTTTATGATACATGTACATGTATATTCACAGAAAAAAAGGACATGGGGTGATACATGTACCACTCAAAATGTTCGGGACCACTTATTTTTCACTTGATATTTATTTTCCAAGCAAGCAGGGGGTCGAGTTCTTTGCTTTTATTGTATGAGAATATGGCTGTTCTCATTGGAATAAAACATCATCCAAAAAAAAGAGTTTAATCGCTCAAAATGAGTCAGTTTCTGTTTCAATAACTTTGTTTCCGCTAGAAAAAGTAAACTGATCTCTGTTTTGTTGAGCGGCCCAGTTTGGCATCCTTATGAAAATGCACATTGTGTGGGCCCATGATAAGTGCTGGGGACTCGATCTTCCATTGATTTCCATTGTGCCAAACTTCAAATTGCTCTGCCGGCAATTCATCTTGTTATGGTACATGTGTGGTAACAGGTAAATTATACGTTGGGTCACAATTTTGGCAATGAAAGAAATTCCCAATGACACTTAAACAAAGATTTGTTACCCATTTTTATCAGTGAGTGACTCGCGAAAAAAAAGTGGAATGAATTTTTGATATGGTGTGAATTAGAAAACACATGGTGTGCGTAGTGAAGTCCTGTTCTCAGGTGGGTAAAGTGGGATGAATTATTAGTCTTGGTTGAAGATGTTGTAGTATTTTTTATAGAGGACCAGCAGCAAACTATCCCAAGTTAATGCCACACCTATCTGTAGCAGCAGTTACTGGTAGTTGTCGCATCATCAACACCCCCGTGTGGCAAATGAGTTTCAGGCAGATAAAACACATGAACAAATTTATACGTCTTGAACAAAGACTACAGAGTTACTAGAGGTCACGCCCAACATAACTGAATCAAAGCACAAGGGAAGTGACAGGATGACAGGAAATCAAGTAATACATGCCCCAGTACTAATCACACCCAGCTGTAAAGATCTATCATAGCGGGTACAAGCGTTTATGCATACATTATACAGGAACTCTGCTTGCTGGCATGAACTATGCCCACCGGTACATATGTACCGGTCTCTGCCTATTTGAGGCACCAGTATGGTGGACACAACAGGAGGGTGCTTTTTGGTTTGGGTAATATGCGTTTGTTCCAAATGTACCCACTTCAAATAGCAACCTCCCACATTATTGTGTGTGCCATGCTTAAGAACGCCTTCCAATGGCATACAGGTTTTGGGACGGGGTGCAAAATTGTATTTTTTTCTAAAAATTCCAGTATCTACATGAATAAATACTTTTAATTAAATCCATAGATCACTCATCCCCCCTTAAAAAAAGGTGGTGGCACTGTTTCTAGGATAATGTCACTTTCTTTAAAAAAATTTCAAATACACCTGTAGATATGGGGCAGTACGGACATCTGGGATTCTCGCAAAATGACAGGTACTGCGCCAGTGAAAACAGCGATCTTGGCGATGTACGCAGGCACCAGCCAACTGGTCCAAAGATCGGGTTATACAATCTTTTCTTTGATCTGTACGTACGCGAGCGCTCGTTACAGGTGTTTTCACCGGCCGCAGTGTGGTTGCTACCCGTATTTTTGTGAAACTCCCAGATGTCCGCCCCGCCCATACTCCCCAATCCCCTCCCTCACTGGACAGCACTGACCTGTTGTGATCATGTTCATATGTTCCTGCACCTGCAGTTTTCCTTTCTAGGTACAACTGACTGCCACTTCAATAGATTAATTAAGACTGCTAAATCAATACTACCACAGGCAAACACCCAATAACCACTTAAAGTCTCAATGGACCAAACGAAATATATATTTTTGAATTTTTGTTCCTTGTCAAGAATTTAAAATAAAAGAACTCTTTTACAAAGCAGACGGCATTAAACTTTCAAAAACAAAATCGGACATGTACATGTATGTAAACATCTCTTTCAAATTCAAGCCGGAAATGTGCAGTTTTCTGAACACTGGTCTGATTTACTTTTATAGCCCCTCTGTAATTGAAAATACATCTGGTCTAGTACTATCTCTGAGCCATCTGAACTGACTTTTAGACCTGGGCGTAATTTGACTCCAGGTAAATAGCATATCTACATTTACAATGTACATCGTTTACAAGCATGCAACCCTAAATGTACGCACATGCACATAGTGCATTAACGCAATACAGAGAGCTTGCATTTTGGGGAAACTTATTCAACATTCCCAATTTTATGTTCTCAGTCAGCAATTTGGTTTCCAAAATGACCTCTCTACAGCTGGGAAATTTCAAACACCGGTACTTGCCAAAATTTCAACCACATGCACATTTTTGCAGCCACTTTTCTTTTTACCGTTTCTGGGCAGTGCAGGTTTTTTTTTCTCGTTGATTGCTGAGGGACATACGGGTTATATCGGTGTTCTTAAATTGGCCATTTGGCCAAAATGCCAAGCAAAAGACTTTGAAATGAAATGAGGTCATCAAGATTTGCTCACTTCCTTAGTGGCACCAATACAAGCCCCAACCTCATTTTCCCCAGGAAAGTCTGGAGTCAATTGCAAATACAACCGTGACTCCTGAACGGTCAGAGAATGAACAGATCTAAACTTCTCAGGACGCCCAATTATTTAGACTGAAAAAATATGCTTCCTGCTTCCTAACTTACCCAACTTTAAAGGCATAACTCTAATAAGCCTTTTGCGAGTTGAATTTGAATAAAATCTGGTACACTGTGCTATCTTATTGCACATTTCATAAACATAATTTAAATTCCCCAGACTAAAGACACTGTTGTTATACATGTACCTTGTGATTAGGGGCGATATTGCCTAGTGACCACAATTCATCTGTGGAATGGACTGGTTCCTTTGTGCCCTTCTTATCCATTGAAAACAGTGTATTGGCGCCAGGTGTCACTAAGCAAAAGCTTGCCCCAAATCACAAGGTATAGCAGCAGTGTCTGTAGTATGGAGAATTCAAATTATGTTTATAAAATGTGAAATAAGAATGCACAGTGTACCAGATTTTATTCAAACATTACTCGCAAATTAACAGTTCACTGTTTTGCAGGCCGGTGGAGGTGGGAGCTTTGGGGAAAATGTGGAATTTGGAAATAAATTAGTTTGGATGGGGTGCCTCAAAACTCAGAAGACCTATGTACCCAATTAGTGTGTCCTGTTGGTGTTGTTCATTTAAAAAAATCCCCCCCCCCCCCCCCCCGCTCTATTTTTAACCAAACCAACAGCTGCACAATGAATCAGTACTTAGCTGAAAAGAAAGAAATAATAATAAAGAAATAAAAACTGAAAATAAAAACTTGTTCCTATTTCCCTACTCTGTTGTTAGATGCTATCTAGAGTTCTAGGAAGAGTAACATGTTTTGTACATGTCTCTCTGGACATTTTTAGCCGTTTAAATAAAGTAACAAAAAGCTCAGCGAAAAATCCCCCAATGATCCAGACACTAGTGGTGCTGTACACGTGAGGAGTTTATAAATTTCCAAAAGAGAACAAGCACTATTTTGGTGCGTTCTCTGAGTTTCAGCTTCTCATGGTTACCTGTGGCCAGTTTCTACGGGTCTTACATGTACATGTACTCTGCACACAACTACCGGTATTTGGTAACACAATTTTTTTTTTTTAAATCCACGAGTCAGAGCAGTGAAAAACTATAACATTTGGAAAGACCTGGTCGAGTCTTTTTTGTTTTAAATATTCAGTAATAGTGGGAAGATTGCTCAATTCTGGAATGGTGTACGGTACAAACCAGGGGTAAATGTATCTGATTTTAGAAAGAAACTCTTCACGGACAACGTACAATGTACCTGCATGCGTATGTATATGTTTATCTATACCCGGTATGGTTCATGTCCTGGTTCACGTTTTAGCACATCTACACGTACAAGTATACCAGTATGTACAATATATATGTACATGTATGTCGTACATGCAGGCCTACATGTACCTTATTTCTCTTCGAAGCTGTCAAAGGAGTCTCTAGCCTACCCAGCGAACACAGGAACAGTGACTAATGTTTGAATGAACTGAATTCTTTGGAGTGGAGTACAATTCATGGTCACGCTGGTGGGCTGTGAAACACCTCAATGTGTTAAGGTCTACTGGGCAACATAAATCATCCAAGCATTATATCCAACGTGTCCCAATTCAACTTATCACGTCTCAGCTTAACAGCTAAACCAGAACTTGATTTAAAAAGAAAACGTCCCTTTTCGATAATCATTAATTGTAATGGTTTATTCAGTTCCTACACGGTATGAAACTCAAACACAGTACAGTCAACATGGACTTGGCCCTTTTGAGTGATCTAAACCTGGAATTACCCTAGAGAAACTGTTTTGATTTTTTCTGAAAGATCCGAATAACTGAGGTCAGTCTAGGACAAAAGCTGATATTATCCTCGAAACATTTTGGACCCTTCATAGTGAGGAGTAATTTGAATACATACAGTGTACATGTACATGCCGCATAAGTCTTTTTGGCAAGCTATTTTGGTTCCAACTACATGTACCACTGCGCATAAATTAGCATTTATAAACAGAGAAGAAACTGGTCCACTTGATGTTGCAATGAAATGCTCTTGAGAGCATTCCAAACATGCAAGACCTTCATTGTACATGTACAGTACATGTATATTGCTAGTGTGAGGGAGGTGTCATGTTTGTTTAGATATCCAATACGTTACATGTACCACAGACATGTAAAATAGCTCGAATCTGCCCACATGTGCAATACACATGGTACTATACATGTACATGTACATGTACATTTATGTACTGTACACATGTACATGTATGTGCAAGCAGCATGAGCAGGTGTGCTGGCCTACTTCATCACAATGTGCTACAACCACTGTGTATTGGTATACCCATGTATAATCAGATGCTGGCAATTCGCAGCTCCAGACATCCTGTCCAGCAGACGGCTCTTTTAACTTTAGAATAGTGGAATTTTACATTATAGAGGTTCAAAATCAGGTCGTCGCCATAAAAAGACCATCTTTCCGACTGACCGTATTCCTGTTAGAGTGACATGCCGACCACAGCAACTTTCTTGTCCTCGTGAACGGAATGACAGAATGTCTCCAGACGTGATCAATACATCTTGGTAGTGGTATTCTGAATTCCACTAGACATCGTCATTTATTGCCCAGTACACATCAAAAAGTTTCTGAACGTAGGCTAAGACATTCCCATCTCTTACAAATTCCGCGCTGTCGTACTCAGCGGTACAAACAGTCAGCAGTGCCATACATGGTTAGTTTAATAAACGCATGTCCTGACTTCGAGTAACATTGTCTATTTCAATGTTATTATTTTCTGTATGATGTATTTTATTTATGGTACATGCTGGTATTTTTATGGAGTATATTTATATGTATTTACATGTAGTCTGTAAATCAAACATGTTTAGTCTTTGACTAGTTGTTTGATGTAAAAGTTAATTTTAAATACACCATCTATATTGTATGTACCGGTATGTTTGTACATGTATGTACCGGTATATTGAGAAATACAGTAGACATTGGGCATGTAGCTTTTGTGCATGCATGTAAAAGCTTCTACATGTACGTGTTCGGAAGTTGACACTTCCTTGGTTTCGTTTCCTTCATCACGCTCGTGCCCTTGCTTCGATTTCAAGAATTTCCTTCTCAGTACAATTCAACACCCGTCAATACCCCGCAGGATTTGCCTCACTTCCCTGGACATTCAAAACGTGATCGAAAGTTTCCATAAAGGTGCATACATGTACATGTACTAGTAAAGGAAAACTGCCATTACACAGAACATTACGTACAGAATGAAGTGTTCGGATTTCCAGAAGTTGCATCCAAATATACGTGTACAGCGTACATTGACAAGGACGGATTCTAAAGGGTCACCAATACCGGTTGTGCAGACTGTCATGCCGGTACAGCAATCCGAATGACAATTCCGGTAAATAGAGGCTATTTACTGCAGAGCCGTCCTGTTCGCGCATGCCCGTTAGCGTTCCTCCAACCAACAGGGAACCACAAATTGCTGAAGAGCACTCTTTGTGCTCAAGTTAAGGACCTGTGCTTGAGTGTGGGGGCTCTGCGGGAGTGGCAACTGGTGTCCCTTCGTATTAGGCACATGTATACATGGACACATGCATGGGTAATGCCAGAAATAAGGGGTCCAAAAGGGTGACATTTTTGTGTCCCTGTTACGTCTGACCTTTGTTACTTGACATGCAAATATCACCGGAATTGATTTCAAACAATTACTATTTGTTTGGCAAGTAATTTACATTAATTCATCACTCTCGGAAATTAGAAAATGTGTTCTAAACTTACAAAATCATATGTCAGATGTGACAGGGACACCCAAAAAAATGGAACCCTAATTTCTGGAATTACCCACACGTACCGGTGCGTGAATGACCATCTCAGCTCCCAGGGAATATAAAAGATTCATACTGGACACTTGATGAATCCATGTACTGTATGTAGCCATGGGTGAAGATAGGGAAATTGTGACAAAGTGTCTTGCCTATGGACACACACAAGGAGATCACATGGAATACGCAATTCGCCATCTTTAAAACTACATGTACATGTATATGTACCTAAAAGGTCACGAGCTCAAAAGTGCTACAAAGCCAGAGAATGCTGAACTTTGAAATGCACAATTAAACAATTTCAGTTTGAAAACAATTCATGGCTGAAATGAGGATGGAAAAAGAAAAACCAATCTCAAAATAAAAAAATTAATGGATGAAATAAAATGGAAAATTGGAGTGGAAAACAAAGTGTGAGTCTGGATGTGTGTTTGATACGTTGATCTGCGGAAGAACCCTACCTTGGTCAGACCGGGTGCGCCTGGGTGGTATCTTTGAGTGGAGAGGGGGTGTGGCTTTTACACCAACGCCCACAAATTGACTACCTACTGCAAACACCACAAAGCACAACTAAACAACTACGGTTTCACATCAAAACACTTGAAAAAGGCTTGCGACAAATGCAGCAAAGTTTACTCTTGGAAGCAATCAATTCAAGAAATTAGGCAAGAAAGAAGTTTAGCTTTGTCAAAGTGCAACAGTGAACACAAAGTTAAGTTAGTTGCTAGGCCCAATTTTAAAGGTGCAGTCCCACATTTGCAGAGCTGTCCATAAACGTACATGTAAGTAAATGACAACATTACTGTTGCAAAGCAGGTACATGTGCATGCTTTAAAGATACCGACAGTTACCGGTACATATGTACAGTGTATGGGACTAAACTCCATGTGAAGTAATTAATTCTTTCAGGCAAGATGTCATTTGGAAGCAAGCACTGAAAGGAGACCAAAGGTCATCAAAAATTTGTCTAAAGACAAATGTTTGGAATTGCTGTCAGTGGTTTCTGTTTTGGTTGTTGTTATATTTCTTCGATTTGGTGCTCAACATCATATAGCTGCAGGCACTTGAGTAAGTAAGAATGTGTATAACAGACGTACACATGAACGCTAAATTTGGGCGCATTTCAAAATGTGACTCTGCAACCGAAATCGAAATCCTAGGAAATTGTTTTTCTTAAAACAAACAGCCTTCACTGAGTTCAAAGGTCATAAGGTTGGTTGTGAACACCCCCCTCACTTTAGACTGCGAACCTTTGTTGCCTCAAACGAATATACTGCACAAATGATCGACTGTGCATGTACCTTTGAAAGCCATGAGTTTAATAACTGAAAACTCGAAATAAAAAGTGCTGTTTGTAAAAGCACGAGACAGCAGAATCACAGAACACAGGCAAAACTGAATGAAAATTGTGCTCCTGTACAACACCTGTATGATATTGTCAGCAAGGTTGATGTACTAGTCGAGTCGATGTATTTATCGTCGTTTATTATAATGTACTGGTAACTACCGCACAGGGGCAATCGTTTCGTATCTTTTCACAACAAGTGCACGGAAAATTTACAAACCCCATTCAAAGTCTGGTTGACATGACAAACTCACAATTTTTGAGGCGGAAACAGGGAAGACGAAAGTGAACAACACTCGTGCCTACAATGCACATACATTTTGAGCTCCACTACGCGATACATGTCCACGTATGGTACATGTGCATGCACAGTGGTAACAGCAGAAACTAGCAGTCAACAAACGAGTGAAATTACAGTGTGTGAGCTCAGGGGATGCATTGTGCAAATTGAAAATAAAAACAGCACTTGTGAAAGAACGAATAAAATGCCTGGGACCATACGGTACCTTACCTTGGAAGTGGAGGGTCGAGGGGATGTTGTAACGTCCCTGCCTCCTGTTGCAAATTTCTCCTCGGAGTCACGGAACACTGAATCCTCTCCATATTGGTCCATGTCCGTGGCAACCGATGCACTCTTGGGCTTTTTTGGCGAGACGGGCACTGGTGGTGGTGGCTGGAGAGGATCAAACTCTCTGAAATCGAAGACGTCAGTGGAAGCCCCCGAGCCTGCCTTGGACGGCGGGGGGCTGAAGGCCATGAGATCACTGGAGGACTTGGTCGCCCCTGCGGACGAATCAGGAGGGAATTTTTTCTTCCACGTCTCGTCAAAGAGGCTGGAGGTTTGGCTGGTTGTGGCCATGAGTGAACCGGGAAATGCGGATGTGGGGGCTTTGGCACTCGAGGTTTCAGGAGGAGATGCACTGAAGGAGACACGGCTCGGCTCCCTTGACTGCTTTATGACTTGAGGGGCAGCCAAGGATTGCCTGGGTGAAGAAGATGTGGCTACCGGGGTGATACCTGTTTGGAAGTTGGGGTTGCTGCTGATACGGCGCATGGAACTGTTCTCGGAGATCCTCAAACTGGACAGCCCTGTGTTCAAGTTGCCCCTGGCTGCTGTGGGACTCGTGGACAAAGCAGCCCGATTGTGTCCAGCAAGACCGGTCAAGTCGAAGGGATTATCCAAAGACGTGCGTTTGAAGCTAATTGGAACTGACAGCCCACTCGCCACTGGGCTGTGACCCCAATAGGCACTGGATCCGATGAGAGTATCGTCATGGTAGCTGGCACGCATCTTTGTTTGCCACTGAGATGAGTTGGGAACATTGGCAGTCTTCAGTAAGGAGTTCATGTCTGTAACATTCACGCTTCGCCGTGCTGGCAGGGGAGGTGTCGGTAGCCCAGTGCTGGAACTTGGACGCAGGGACTTGGTTTGAGCCAGTCCAGGACCTGACAGTGCTTGGCTCAACAGCGGGTCAACCCACTGTGAGCTGTCCCTCTTTGTCGCCGTGCTGGGCTGAGGTGCCTCAAATGGCACATTGGAATTGGGGAAGGAGGACTGACGATTGTAGGTGGGTCTGGTCAAACTCGCCTGCGTCGTCGGCATGAACTGATAACTGCCGGGGCGGTGGGTGGCCACTGGCCGCAGCTGTGCTTGGACACCAAAACCTCTCGGGGGAACAGGCGGGGCTTCTTCCGCCTCCTTCTTCTCATCGTAGCTCTTCATGACATGCTTAAAATTAAACAGCATCAGGTCCGGTTCGTTGGACGCCATAGTGTCGTCTCTGTTGTCCTTCCAGTAGCTTGGGGCATACATGCTCAGCTCTTGTGAGGCTTTGTCGCTAGGGTGATGCAACAGACCTGCCACACTATCTGGTACATCTTTGTTCCCACCTCTTCCCTTCCAGTTCTCCACTTGTCCCTCCCGCTTCAAATCCTCCATCCGTTGGGTCTCCAGGCTTGCGGCTATGGCTTTTTCTAAGTCGTCCTCGAATCTCTTGTCGAGGATCTCCGACATTGTCATGGCGCCTTCCATGCCCAGACCCTGGCCAACTGACTGACTTGTGCGAGCCATGGTCGAGTCACGTTCTTTTTATCACCACCAACATACTGATTAACACCTACAAATGAAAGTAAACCATGAGCAAATTTTCTGAGTAGTGACATTCTGTACATGTACCCGTGCAACTACCACACACACGTGTGCATGCCATTTTTAAACATGGCAATAGAGTTTTTATTGTTAATTCTAACCACTCAACGTCAATCATACCAGCCTTTCAGTTCTTGATCTTGCTCAAAGATAAATAAGCTTTTTTCCTGCAGGTACTCCAATTTATACAAAAATGACCAAATGAATGTTGAATAACTTCTGTAATTTGTTATTGCCAGGTAATACCTCGAAAATGTGCAAGTAAAATGTTTTAATGTTTTAGTCAATTACAAAGACTAAGGTAATTATCTGGAATAGCATGCCTGAAAAGGAACGAGTTCCATATCCAGACATCACTTGACTCCCTATGCACAAACTCTTTGCGTCTAGTCAGAAAAATTAAAGTGTTTTCTAAGTATACGATTCAAATATTCTCACTGCTAAATTTGGCTTTTTGGGACATGTTATTACTTTCTTATGACTTACATGTATATTGCTGCAAGTGAAAAAATAAAATATGTATATATATGGAACTCTTACTGTTTGGGGAAAATTTGATTATGTATTGTCAATGTGGCAGGCCCACATCTGACTCAAAACTTTTCAATTTCAGTCATGTTTATGTAACATTTACAGACCCGTAGGGTAATATGTGGGGGTGATAAGACTGCATTCTCCCCCTTCCATTCTAATCATTCAAGGCATTACTTGTTATAGAAGTCAGTTTACATTATGTTGTGATGCACTATCAAACAGCGTCAACAGGGTGGTTGAATGGGTTTGCAAAACGTTTTTCGCAGCGACAAAATGACACAATTCGGCACAAAATAGGACACTGTGCAAATCTAATGGGAAAGAGTTCCATATACGGACAACACTTGAGGCCCTGCAGACAAATCTATGACTATGAGACTTGTCTGAAAGAGTGTTTTCTAAGTAGGCCGAAATGCTTTGGAATTTTCTCTGTTAAATTTCAATTTAGTCACTTTCTGACGACTGTTATTATTCATATTTCAAGGAAAAATTTGTTTTGTCCATATATGGAACTCTTTAATGTCCTTATTTTCAAATCATGCACCATATAAAGGCCTTTTTGTGAAGATAATAAATTCCGGAGTAATTAACACACGAAGGTTCCTCCACAAACTGTGAGTGTGGACGTCAATAATCTATGTCAACATTGCCAACTGTCCGAAAACTAGACAAATTCAAACAATCGGTTTCTTGCCTCTCGCTTTCTGAAAGACAGAAACAATCATATCATGACATGAACAGCATATCATACTAACAATCTTGACATAATTTCTGTACGATCCAATTCTGAAAAGAAGATATAAGTAAGATAATGACATCTTTAGAGTTACGTACCTCACAATTCGGCAGACTAACTTTGTATAGACTGGTACCAACTCCTTGATAAGAAAACAGATCTCGTTCTGTTGTTATAAGTCTGGGCTACGTCTGTAGGGCAACAAACACGGGTACCCGTCGATTTTAGCATTGAGATAACACAGAGTACTAATGTCTGCAACCCAAATCTTCTTGTTTGTGTACATCTGGTGCGACCCGGCGACCCGACGGCTTGAGCTGGGCACCGCCCACAAATTGGCGGCGGCGGGCGTCAAAATGAGTGAATCATCGGACTTTTCGTCGGGATAGGTCAGGTCTAATCGACCTGTCGTTGGACTAATTATCAATTTGCTGGACTGCCAAATTGAATTATAAGAATAGAAAAACAGGCGTGCAAAGCCAGGGAATTTTGGCCCTTTGCATAAATAGGACATTAATTTGTCCCAATTAATCATTGCAAAGCTGACTGGGTAAGATATACGCATACGACGATAGCCGATTTGGAGAGTACCTCTGCAATACATTTTTTCAATGCTACAATTATCTAGTAGGCCTACTCTCTATCGAATATTTTCATTTATATAACCCATCATTTACTAAACCAATTTTGCTCTTCATCAGGGTCCAGCTTTGGCTTTTAGAATCCCCAGTTCGTTGTAACATCTGCCACTTTCCTGGGCACTACAGTGCCCCGCACAGCCCAAATTCTACGATTTGTTTAGCAACATTTTAGCCCCCAAAAGAGCGCCACCATCCCTACGACCGACTTCGCACATGATGAGCCCCGTACGCGTATCAGCGGCACGTTGTGCGCGGACAATGCACAGAATGGTTCAGAAATCAGCACCAGCCTCCAAGCTTTTTCCGCAGTCCAATCAGAATTGCTAAATGCGCGTCTCGACTGACTTCTACCCAATCATGACAGCTGATTCTGTTTCATCGCTAGCACTGCCTTTTTTCGGCTGTATTCCTCCAAGCAAGAATATAGTACTTCTAATTTATTTTACAGTTAGAAGTGTCATCGCTCCTCTTCAGTTGTGAGGAAATACGCTACATCATCATTTGGTAATAATTAATCATTTTCCTACAAAACGTTGCTTTTAAAGGGAAAAATAACTATGCGCGGAAAAATACAAATTTGGTAAGTCGGCTCGAGAAATACCTTGCATTTTTGAAGACACCCGCGCTCACTGCGTAGCTTTCACTTTGCAATGCAGCACGTGATGATGGGTGCTGTATTACCTCTCTCAGACAATTTGTACCTTAATTTTACGACTGAAATTTACCTAGTCGCCTAGGGGTTGCCTTCGTTGTGGAATATAGGTAAACGTACAGGACCTATAGCCCTCGGCTGAGTCTGCACAAATGTTCTCAGTGTCCTTGGATACTCTCAGCCTTCGAAAGAATCAACAATGTCGCCAAGCAGCGTTCTCCAAAATTTCAGTGTATTTTGTCAACAATGATTGTACATGTATATATTGTAAGAACTCAAATGGACGCTCTTGTTACAGTAGGCCTACTGAGCATGCTGGACTCTCATGCATGATAGACTCTTGAACTTTTTGATATGAACTGACAATAATGGACTGAACATGTGAAATGTGTTTTGTCGAATGATCTGAATGACGATTTGTGGAGTTCGACATGGGAAATTCACGTTGGGTGAGTTTGTACCAAATCTATTCTGGAATACAACCTGGGTGAGTGTTTACTGTCTGTTTCTTTGTTTCAAAACCAAGAAAAGGTGTTGTATCTGAACTCAGATGGAAAGGAATTCCAAGGGTTGAATTTAATTGAATGCTGTAATAGAAAATCCGACTCGAGCATGCTGAAACGGTATCACAGGCCAAAGTTTCAATAGAAACTTTATTGAAAGCCTGCATTCCATACGTTGAACAGTTTGTAAAGGAATTCGCATATCAAAAAGACAGCACGTGCTTGCATAAATTACGATCCGAGGCATTCAAAGGTCCATGGGACAACAGTGAAATCGAAGAGAACGAGCATTTGCTTTTCATGATTTACGTAAACGAGCGTCAAGAAGGTTTCTCAAATTACACACTGTCGTGAATGTGGAAATGGCATCCGATAAATGACGAAAATGAGTGCTTACCACGAAACCCACGCATTTGTTTGTCGAGGTATAGGCTAAATAACCATTCGAAAAAATGCCACTTATGACCTTGACTGTTCGATACGTGAATGTATTCCAAATTTGGTCACGCTAACCCCGCCTGTAGAAATATCACGGAAACAAAATGTGTCGAATATGTAAATGCGAAATTTTGTCAACGTGTGGTTCATTCGGAAACAAAAGGGAACGCCGCGAGCTGACCACGTCACCTGACCATGTCTACTCCGTGAATTCGTACATGTGAACAAACGCATATAGACGATTTTCCAAAATGTATTGTCCTCGAGGTGGGAACACTCCGATAAATCACAAAAATGAACGCTTACGAGACCCACACGTTTCCGTCGATTTTTTCTTCGAATCATTTCAGTTTGCTCAAGGTGTAAATACTGTTCGAAAATTTACAACTTAATTGTAAACGATGCGTGAATATATCACTCTAATTTGCTTCATGTGTTAAAATACTATTCGAATAATTTAAACTTACGAGGTGATCATACGATGCATTAAGGTACACTGGCGTTCAAATTTTACTGAACACTGTAAATCTGATCGAAATACTGTATTCGGGGTGACTGCAGAATATGTAAATTTCATATTTCGTCGGTGTGGTCACCATTTGATAGAGTGACTGCGGAGTGACCCTGTCAAAAGTCAAAATTTCGTTGCACGAATAAATTCTCGTCCTCTTCGATTGAATAACTCGTTCATAAACCACTCCAGACGAAGACATAAGAATTAATGTCGTTATTATACCGGTAGCTTTTCATGTACAAACTCGTTTTGCTCCCCTGTAAGTTTTAATATCTGTTAGTCACGTGCCTGGTTGTTAGGTCACGTGAAGATTTTTTTCCATGACCAAACGTTGATGATCAACGTCATCTGTATGAAAATGGCCGAGTGGCTTAAAATAATCGTAAACCCGATCTATAATGGGTTTTTTAAATTCCAGTTAGGACAACAGAGTTCGAGATTGCTTGATTGAAGTGCAAAAATGAAAAGGCAACTCGCAAATTGATTCTCAATATTAAAGTGAATGTGAAATATTGTTATTCTTCAATGTGGCCATGGTAACGACAATGTTTGTATGGTATTTACAATTGATATTGTATTGGGTGTCTGGTAAAATTAATTGTACTTTCAATTGCTGTTTAAAAATAGAGGCTGTGATATGTGGCCTGTGACTTCATTGACTGTAAGACCGGTCAGATTAGACTGGCAGGGGATGTATTGCTGTAGTAATGTCGGCCAAGTTTTAAAAAGTAAATCTAAGCCTCGAGGCGAGGCCAAGGAATCGGTGTTGGTCAAAGTATTCCTTTTGCATGAATGACATGCATGGAAACAGTGTCAAGACAGTTTTGCAAAATGCACAATCCCCGAGGATTACGCCCGAGAAATCACGAGAACGAGCGCTTACGACGAGATCGTCATTTTTGTTGTATGTGTACAAACCGATGTATTGGGCGTGTGCTAAAATGATTCATAAATTTTGTAATCAAATTGTGGTTTTAAAATACAGGTTGTAACGTTCAGTGTGTCCTCGTTGACTATAAAATCGGTCCGATTAGACTGACTGGGAATGTACTGCTGTAGTACTGTCGACCAAGTTTTAGAAAGTAAATCATAGCCTCGAGGCCAAGGAATCGATGTTGGTCAAAGTATTCCTTTTGCGTGAATGACATGCATGTTAACAGTGTCAAGACATTTTTTTTGCAAAATGCACGATCCCCGAGGATTACGGTGTATGAGAAATCACGAAAACGAGCGCTTACGACGAGATCGAAGTTTTCTGATGTTTTAAGTCGAAATTTTAAATACACACACTAGTCGATTGTTTTACAACTTAACAAGGTAATCATCCTACACGTTAATGTATTCGATTTCCGGACTCGTAAATACTTTTCGAATAGTTGTAATCTACATGTACGAGCTGATCAAAAGATGCGTGAATGTATCATTCTTGTATGCAGGATATCTGAAATCCACGTTTCGTTAAGTTGTCAAAATTTAATAAAATAACGTGTAAAAAGGGGCTGATCATGCTCCAAAGTCACGATTTCCTTCCACTAATAATTTCTGTCATCGGCTACGAATAAATAACTCTGCATACGCCTACATGTAAAAGGAGCAGTTCTGTCGACAGCGTTGACACCAAGTTATGAATATGTACATGTCAATTTCTCAACTTTTTTTCGTGTCCAAAGTATTCCTTGGACAATACATTGCTCCCTTGTGATTGTTAATATCTGTAAGTCACGTGACAAGTCGTTAGGTCACGTGCAGATTTTTTTCCATGCCCAAACGTTGATTTCATCCGTATGAAAATGGCTAATGGTGCCTAAAGAGAATTGTAAGCCCGACCTATAAGATCGGCAATCGTGTATAGGCCTAATTGGTATTTGTATCTGGCCAGGACGTTTCAGATCACGGTGATTTGGGGAAAAACCGCTTCCAATTTATTAAAGGTCAAGGTGAATGCGAAATTCGTTATTCTTGTAAACGTTATTCTTGTATGTGTCATACCACATACTTTTTTTATATCAAATTGTAGTTTTAAATGCAGGTTGAAATATGCGCAGTGTGTCTTAATTTACTGTAAGATCGGTCAGATTAGACCGGCTGGGGGTGTATTACTCTGATACTGTCAGCCAAGTTTTAAAAAGTAAATCTTACAGCCTCGAGGCCAAGGAATCAATGTTGGTCAAAGTCATCCTTTAGCGAAAGTTATAGTAACAGTGTTAGGACGGTTTCGCAAACTAAACGATCCCCGAGGGTTTAACTGGTATCCAAGACATCACGAAAACGAGCGCTTACGATGAGGTCGAAGTTTAAATACTAATCCAATAGTTGACGATTAACTTAATAAGGTCATCCGATAAGTGCATGTATTTGAGTTTTGGACTCTTTTGTCCCTTTCGAAATTATCTACCTACCTTCACTATCATCAATGCAAAGGTGTAATATGACTGTAAGACACGTGACATGTTTGTGGGTCACGTGCCAGGTTTTTCGTTTTGTAAATGCGACTTTTGGCATGGCGAAGACTTTGCTCTTCTACGAGATGTAAGTCCAGTCGAGCATCTGGCAACTGGCAGAAGTATGTGGGAGTTGCATAATGTCTTGAAGGTTTTTCGAACGTGCACTGAAAGCGAATACAAATGTTCTTTGACAGTAACCTGCGGCTTCACCGGAATTCAAAATGAGTGTAAGTCACGTGACTCGTTTTTAAGCCACGTGAAGATATTTTTTCCGTGACCAAACGTTGATTTCATCCGTACAAAAATGGCTAAGAGTGCCTAAAAATAATCGTAAACCCGACCTATAATAGTTTTGTTTTTATCCGGTTGGGACAAGAGTTTAAGATTGTGTGATTGAAGTGCATTCACGAAAAGACAACTTGCAATTTTTCAATATCAAAGTAAATGCAAAATGACGTGTTTTTTTTATGGGGCCATGGTAACGACAATGCTTGTATGATATTTACAATTGATGTAATGGGTGTGTGGTAAAATTAATAGTACTATTTTTGTCAAATTGCAGTTTAAAAATAGAGGCTGTAATGTGTGGCATGTGACTTCATCGACTGTATAAGACCGGTCAGATTAGACTGACTGGAAATGTATTACTGTGGTACTCGGTCAGCCAAGGTTTAAACAGTAAATCTTAACCTCGAGGCCAAGAAATCGGTGTTGGTCAAAGTATTCCATTTTCGTGAATGACATGCATGTAAACAGTGTCAAGACAGTTTTGCAAAATGCACGATCCCCGAGGATTACGGTGTATGAGAAATCACGAGAACGAGCGCTTACGACGAGATCGACGTTTTCTGATGTTTTAAGTCGAAATTTTAAGTACACACACCAGTCGAATAGTTTACAACTTAAATTAACAAGGTAATCATCCTACATGTTAATGTATTCGATTTTCGGACTTTTTGTAAATACTTTTCAAATAGTTGTAACCTACGAGCTGATCAAAGATGCATGAATGTATCATTCTAGCATGCACGGATATGTGAAATCTGCATTTCATTAAGTTGTCACCATTTAATAAAATAACATGTAAAAAGGGGCTGATCATGCCCAAAAGTTAAGATTTTGTTACTCTAATAATTTCTGTCATCTGCTACGAGTAAATAACTTGGCATACGCCTACATGTAAAAGGAGCAGTTTTGTAAGTTATGTACATGTTAATTTCTCAAATCTTTTCATGTGCAAAGTACTGGACCATATATTGCTCCCTTGTGATTGTTAATTAATATCTATAAGTCACGTGACTGGTCGTTAGGTCACGCGCAGATTTTTTTCCCATGACCAAACGTTGATTCCACCCGTATATGAAAATGGTTAATAATGCCTAAAGGTGATTGTAAGCCCCATCTATAAGATCGACACTCGTGTGAAGGCCTAATTGATTTTGTATCCAGCCACGACAACGTGCGTTTTTGGAAAAACCACTTGGATTTTTTGAAGGTCAAGCTAAATGCAAAATAACTTTATTCTTATATGTGGTGTGCAATTGGTGTCTTGGGTGTATGCCCAATTTATTCAAATTTCTAATCAAATTGTGGTTTTAAAATAGGCCTACAGGTTGAAATATATGCAATGTGTCTTCATTGACTGTAAAACTGGCCAGATTAGACCGGCTGGGGATGTATTACTCTGAAACTCTGTCAGCCAAGTTTTAAAAAGTAAATCTTCTAGTCTCGAGGCCAAGGAATCAATGTTGGTCATTCTTTAGCGAAAGTTATAGTAAGTGTTAAGACGGTTTCGCAAACTATACGATCCCCGAGGTTTAACTGGTATCCGAGATATCACGAAAACGAGCGCTTACGATGAGATCGAGCATTTCGATGTTTTCTTCGAAGTTTTAAATACTATTCCAATAGTTGACAATTAACTTAAGGTCATCCGATAAGTGCATGTATTTGAGTTTTGGACTCCTTTTGTCCCTTTCGAAAATATCTGCCTACCTTCACTATGATCAATGCAAAGGTGTAATATGACTGTAAGACACGTGACATGTTTGTGGGTCACGTGCCAGGTTTTTCGTTTTGTAAATGCGACTTTTGGCATGGTGAAGACTTTGCTCTTCCACGAGATGTTAGCAAGTCCAGTCAAGCATCTGGCAACTAGCAGGGGTTGTGAGAGTTGCATAAATTTCTTAAATGTTTGTCGAACGTGCACTGAAAGCGAAGTTAAATATTCTTTGACAGTAACCTGCGGCTTCACCGTAATCCAAAATGAGTGAAAGTCACGTGACTCGTTTTTAGGCCACGTGTAGATTTTTTCAAAGACCAAACGTTAATTTCATCCGTACAAAAATGGCTAAGAGTGCCTAAAAATAATCGTAAACCCGACCAATAATGGTTTTTTATCCGAATCCATTTAATAAAATAACATGTAAAAAGGGCTGACTATGCCCAAAAGTCAAGATTTTGTTACACTAATAATTTCTGTCATCTGCTACGAGTAAATAACTCGGCATACGCCTACATGTAAAAGGGGCAGTTTTGTAAGTCATGTACATGTTAATTTCTCAAATCTTTTCACGTGCAAAGTACTGGACCATATATTGCTCCCTTGTGATTGTTAATTAATATCTGTAAGTCACGTGACTGGTCGTTAGGTCACGCGCAGATTTTTTCCCATGACCAAACGTTGATTTCATCTGTATGAAAATGGTTAATAATGCCTAAAGATGATTGTTAGCCCGATCTTATAAGATCGACAGTCGTGTAAAGGCCTAATTGATTTTGTATCCAGCCAGGACAACGTGCGTTTTTGGAAAAACCACTTGGAATTTTTGAAGGTCAAGCTAAATGCAAAATAACTTTATTCTTATATGTGGTGTGCAATTGGTGTCTTGGGTGTATGCTCAATTTATTCAAATTTTAAATCAAATTGTGGTTTTAAAATAGGCCTTCAGGTTCAAATATGCGCAGTGTGTCTTAGTTTACTGTAAGATCGGTCAGATTTGACCGGCTGGGGATGTATTACTCTGATACTCTGTCAGCCAAGTTTTAAAAAGTAAATCTTCTACCCTCGAGGCCAAGGAATCAATGTTGGTCAAAGTCATCCTTTAGCGAAAGTTGTAGTAACAGTGTCAAGACGGTTTCGCAAACTATACGGTTTAACTGGTATCCGAAATATCACGAAAACGAGCGCTTACGATGAGGTCGAAGTTTTAAATACTAATCCAATAGTTGACGATTTACTTAATAAGGTCATCCGATAAGTGCATGTATTTGAGTTTTTGACTCTTTGTCCCTTTCGAAAATATCTGCCTACCTTCACTATCATCAATGCAAAGCTGTAATGTGACCGTATGACACGTGACATGTTTGTGGGTCATGTGCCAGGTTTTCCGTTTTGTAAATACCTGCACGGCTTTTGGCATGGCGAAGACTTTGCTCCTCTGCGAGATGTTAGCAAGTCCAGTCAAGCAACTGGCAACTAGCAGGGGGTGTGAAAGTTGCATAATTTCTTAAATGTTTGTCGAACGTGCACTGAAAGCGAAGTTAAATATTCTTTGACAATAACCTGCGGCTTCAGTGCAATTCAAAATAAGTGTAAGTCACATGACTCATTTTTAGTTCATGTGCAGCTATTTTTCTCATGAGCAAAATGGTGATAAATGTATCTGTATGGTACATGGCTGCAGAGCCCGGTGTAATATTGTCATTTTATTGTATCCAGTTGAGACGAGAGATCATAGTGATATGAACAGCGATGTGTGGAAAATATCGCGAATGCGGTTTGGTGATTGTTTCATAACCCTCGGGAATGTGGTACAATGTTATGTTAATGACTAATAACATTGGCACATAATGGAGTTCACAAGCGTATAGGCCTACCCGGCTGCCCAGTTATGTTGGATTTTTTATTCTTAAGTTTGACTTTATAGACTTAAGACTGAATGTGGTAAGAAACTACAGGTTTTAATGCACATAAGTGGGTCGATTGTAATTTCTCGTTTAACTGTATACTGTTTATTGTTATTACCATGGATATCGACAGTACTGTATTATTTTGTGCGGTTGGGGCCCCACGGGTTATAAGACGTGCAGCTTGATTGCATGCTGCTCTTTCGCCTTGTCCCCTTAGCTATTGTCATTCTGCTTGCAGTCATACAAGTGGAAATTTTATTCTCCAGTGACTGCGTAAGTTATAAGACTGATCAAAAAAATAATATACTGCCATGGAAGTATTTTTTTTTGCATTGTAACCCTCTTCACTAAGTTGTAGCGCTGTAAATCAGTGTCTGCAAATAACTCCAAGGGAAATTGATTGAGGTTGCAAAAAGCTCGAAACTTTAAATAACACTTGTCGTTTTCCTCGTCAACCCTGCACTCGTTTTTGTAACCATGCATGGTGGAATGAAATAACTTCGAGTCGGGTAAATGTCGCAAACGCTTGATTCGCCGTCGTCTGCTCCTGTAACCCGGAACCGATAACAATGTAAGGTCTGGCCAGCAACGAAGAGGCACTGATGCGCCGCGGTTTGGACATTACGCACAGCGTTGAAATTTGGGAAATGTTTTGTATCGAGTAACAGGCGATTTAAAGTAGGCAGCTGCTTTTATTTGAAGGCCTACATTATTATGCTGATAGCCGAATGGTATCGGCTATCGAGTAACGTAAGGGTACAGTTTATTAAACCAATTAGGTGTTATACATGTATATCTGTAATGAATAATGTGCAGGCTTACTAAAAGATTACTTCAGTGAGGCTTAGATTTAGTGAGGCTTAGAACGGTACGTTGTCAGGATTAGTGTACAGTTGGCCAGGTATTTTTGCTTGTACTATGATTTGAGCAGTGCCATTCATCCAGTCCTAGCTCCTTGCAAGGACGAGTACTTTTCTTTCCGTACTTGCTTCCAGTGTAGCCGTGACTGAGATGAGGTTCTTGATGACGAGGCAGCTGAGGTGGCATCTGACGGCGACATGCCTGGACAGAAGATGCTGCTCAGAACCAGAACTGGGGGAAGATGGATGACCAATCGCCGGCACGCTGCTGTCGCACCCCGTTGGTCTACCTATAAAGGTAAAGTTCACTTGGAACTTCACAAACACATGAAAAGTGCATGAGGGAAAGTGAACGGCAGAACTCCGAAACGATCAACTACATATATTTTTTCCAGTCACACACCTTGAGAATTGTTCAGACTTGATTGAAAAAGTTATTCCCGACAGCAGTGCTGTGAAGTTCCTACTGTTTTATAGTACAAATCAAATGATGTAAAAAAAGAGCTGCCACTATATCGCACCCTTGCTGCATTCTTTACTAGCAAAACAATGGGTGACTGTATGAACTACGAAGTTGGTTAAAAGGAAAAAACAATACTAAATCAGCAACCATTCATTGGCATGCTCTGCTGCAGGTATAGTTATGGTGGTTAACATGGGTCTTCACAGTTCTAATGTCTGATAAAATGGTGAACATTTCCTTCGTTTTAATCATAACAGACTGACCCACGATGGCACTTTACCAGATGACATGCAGAAGGACAGGCAACCATGCATCGATGGCCATGGATTCGGCTTTCTCAGTTGCGGACGTATTCAGATAGCCATTAGAGGTGGGTTTATAACTTCAACAATATCGCTCCACGAATGTCCTCTCCGGAGCCCCCACAACTTGTGAACTAGTTTAGCCCTAACTCCCTAGAGTGATTTACTAGGAACCGTACCCATTCACGCAAATTCTAACACCATACGGTAAACTGTGCACAAAAACTGTTGGACTCTGTTTATTTTGGGTATGCCTGAACCCATGTTAAAGCACAAGCAGTTTAGGGGTACAGTACCCAGTGCCACAAATTCACACACTTTACTGGTGTTCAATTCTGTGTGGTTAGGGAAGGTTAGGGTGAATGGACATCACTTGATCGAGATATCCCCGTACAAGAAGAGGCATTGTAGAACCGATCAGTTGGCATTGAAATGTTGTCAGTCCCTTAAATAATACAAAATCTTCCATATCATTCCCTGTGTAACCATATGCTGGCCTAGCCTTAGAGGAGATCTTTGTGCAGGCTAACCTTTCTGTGTCCCCTAGTGGTTTCTACTGCATTGACCCTATCACCTTAACCCTGCCAGACGCAGCTCATGGGATCAGGTGAAAAAGTCCGATGCACTTTGGATGCACTTGGCAATCAACAGCAGCCAAACAAACTGACAAGTGATGCAGTTTGATGCGCCTGGCAGGGTTTCTGGTCAAAGTAGGGTGGGGTTATGTTTAAATTCATGATTCTGTTTTGTTTCCGATTGGCAGACGGAGACTGCTGCCCCTTACCAGATCTGGTCCGAGGGATGACTCAAAAGAAGCGACGTTCCCTTCCCATCCAGACGATTGCTGTGGTCTTCAAGTTTCGATTAAAAAACCTAAATTTTAACCAAACGTTTTCCCCTGAACGCGGGAATTTTAAATTTCATACCTTTAAACCGCCCTCTCGTCGCCTACTGTTTGCATTTGTGGCCAAACTTTGCAAACAAAATATATGTTAATTTCACTGACCTCAAAATGTTTGCCCCATCACTTTTATAGGCTTCAGTATTTTAGTTTAAGTAGTTTTGTTAATTGTTTTTGAAGCTGCATGACATTTTCTTAATGCTTTGTAAATAGATTTTTGTTATTGCACTGACGGTATCAATCCAGTTTTATCAGCCATCGTAGAAAAAAGACTATGAAGGAGAATTAACGGACTCTTTAAATGATACATTTTAACCTTTACATTCCTGAATATTTAATTTCCACAAAATTGTTTTATCATGGGCATATAGGGTTAGGATTTTCAAGTGGAATTTATTTTGTACGACTTCATTTTGTTTTGCTTTTCAACTTTGGGGTCAAACCTTCAACAGGTGCAATGAACTTCAATCAGTTGACCCAGTATAATATATCATTCTCGTGTTAATGCACAGTATAACTTAAGAAATTATCAATGTCTCACTGTGTAACTTAAAGATTTTAAAATGACTAATTTTGGTGAGATAAATATGACCTAGTTACTTTTGCCATTTAAAAAATTCTAGATAACGCACAAACAAAATCCACAGCATTCCTCAAACAATAACCTTTTAAGGTCATATTAGCTTATGGTCACTGTCCCACGACGTTTAATATTTTTGGTTTCCCATTATACCGTCTTTCAGCCTTTGGAAAAATACCATTTTAATGGGTTCTTTTGTCTTTAAATAACCTTTAGGAGTCACATTAGTAAACATTCTGAAATTACAACAACGAAATTACAACGTGGTTGCCAGTAATGCGATCGCCTCAAATCAAAAATGGAGTTCTGTCCAGTTGTATAAAAACTGTAACCGCCCAAGTTACTTACTGCCATTTTCAAATCTCCGTCACTTCCTGAAGACTGCCTCGTGCTCTGTACACCGCGTTTAATCCCGTTTTGTGTTTGCACGATCACAGTTGAATTCAGCACCATTCTCGTTTCTTTTTCTCACCGCACGGTGAATTCTGTGTTTGGTTTGTTTTGTAGTTCAACATTTCTTTTCATTAACACTAATCCTTGACGGGAAAGACGCGGTGTGGTCAGGGTATTGTGACATACGAGGACAATTTAAGATCATACTTATTTGCGGTACGGTCTTATTCACTTCTTATTTGTTTGGTTTAAGGCGATCATCAATCTGGGAAGAAATTTTAGGGAATATCTATTCCATCTAAGGCAAACTCCTTTGGACCAGTCTGAATTCCTTTTGCGAACTTTTGTAATGAAAGATTTGGATTTTTTGAGTAGTTGGTTACGTATTAAAGCTATTGGAGGAAAATGTTCGGATTTATATTTTTGGTTTTCTTTTTGTCTGTTTTGATTCTGTTACGCATACAATAGGTCAGTCCCCAGCCAAATGCGAATTTACGATTCTACAACCCAAAATCCCTGGCGAGCACTGTGCAGTGTGTCCAGAAATGAGGCAGACTTTAAACCAACAAGATTTTACTGGAAAGATATGTTTTTGAACTAAGTTAACGCAGACATTTTTGCAAGAACATTTGGCTGGAGCAAGGCCTTGTTTTTTGTCAGTGGCGTCCAGGGGGGTTGACTTGAGAAAGGCATCTTATTATTGCTTCTTTCGTTCACGCCCCCCCTTGGAAAATCCAGGATCACCCCCCCCCCGACAAAATCCTGGATCAGCCCCTGCAGTTTTTATCAACCTTTTCTACATAAACAGCAAGAAATAGTTTAATGGACAGATCACCTGCTGCAATCTCATTAGGGACTATTATTGAAGCTCTAGTTTACTTCGAAGTGTGTATCGGTGATTCAGAAGTAACCCTTCAAAGAATGTGCTCGTTTCTTTGCAATAATTTGACAAGTAGAAAATGTGCCGTCAAAACTACTAAATTCATGAAATGGCTCACTCACAAGCGGGAAAAAGGAGGAAATTAGGTCATAATCGTAAGTTAGGTTGCTGACACGGGCCTGATTCCGGTCTTCCGTTGTGCTTCAGATCCCCAAGAGAGGGCTCACTATAGATCTCATACTGTCGGCATCGGATTGGCAAACCAGGATTCTGATGAGTGAGGGGAAAATTGCAGGGGCGGATCCGGGATTTATTGTGGAGAGGGGTTCGGATACGGGATTTTGTTCATATTTCATATGTAATTATCGCCTACGGCAAGTCCAATTTAAAACTATTGTACACGCAAAATAAGACCTTATACGTGGTCTTTGCTTCACGTGGGTGTCTTTCAACTTAAAGCCCCCACTTTCAAAAACTGGCGAAAAATGAGAACCCAAAAAAAAACAAAAAAAAAAAACAAGCAGTCCCCCCAGATCCATGTCTGGTCTGATAGTTTCTTACAAAAAGTAAAGCAGGGAGCCACATATAGTGACGCATATCAATTCGACCGCCAAGTTGCACTTGGATTGGAAATTGGGCGGGATGCGGGAATGTGGGTCCTAACTCTTTGGTCATAAACTGGTACTCAGTGCTGAGCGTAGCATTTAAAAATTGAGGTGAAATCTCAACCCATTGACTTCATTTAGGGCCTGTTTGTTTCATCATCCGGATCGCGATCGGTGATCCGTCGTTGGTTCACTGACACCAAAACCCACCTAATGGGTGGAGCGAACCAGCGATGGGATCACTGATTGAGATCAGTATTCAGTGATCCGTCGTTGGTTCACTGACACCAATACCCGCCTGATGGATGGAGCGAACCAGATCCGTGTGAAACGATCACGTCGGCTAAACATGCCCATAAAAAGATCCAGATCTGCAATCCCTTATCACGCAGCGGTTGTTGATGGACGATCATCTTACTGTGCTAAATACCAAAGATTGATCTCTTGTTCATCCAAAATTTTGTGTGCAATACGATCTTTTGGCATTTTTCTTGGTGAGAGTCCCATATACGGCGCCACCGTACACGCGGCAAAGGTGACAAACTTTCACCTCGTTTCAATTGTCTTTGCACTGCAAACAAGTCCATTCTGCTTGGAAAAGCTGAAATTACTATCAAAACTCGTTGGTGTCTGTGAAATTCAACTGAATAACTGTGGTGGCCGGATACGGAACTCTTTCTGGCAAAGTCAAATTGTTAGAGCACCATTACCGGAACATCCCGGTAGTTAGCCCGTCTCCTTCAAGCTTGATGCTGATAAGAAGAGGGCGCTATTTACAATTATCGCAATACGGAAACAGGCTGGTACCCAATTCCCTGTCCATATTCTGATGATAGTCTGAAAAGGGCACCAGGTGCATTTATCAGCGTTGATCTGGTGTGACACGTCGTCTTAGCCAACACAGCGTGTGGAGGAAATCGGATTGAAATTTTAAACATCTGCCAAGTGCTAGCTTGACTACCGGTACCGAGCGTAACTGAGAATAGCAGAAGGTTTTCAGGCAACTAAGACGCTCACAATTCTTTTTACTGGTGAGTATCTTATGAATGCTTCATTGCAGTTTGTAAGTTACTGGCAAAGATGATCGGATTTTGGAGCATCAAAAAAAAAAAAAAGAAAAAATGCCGTGGAGGTTGTGCATTGTTCTACTCATCTGCTCATATCATCACGATGTCTGCTTTTAGCCTACATTTACCTCTGTACCTGCCCCCAGAACTGTGGGGACGCACGGTGGACGAGGGTCCCCACAGTTTTGGGGGTAAGCTGCGCCTACACAGTATGAGCCATGTCTAACTTGTGATGCAATGTGCGTTTTGCTTTGGCCTAGCCTACATCATGTAGTACTACTACTACTAGTAGTACATGTAGGGAAGAGTTCCATAGGCCTGTATGCTACGGACGCCAGGACTTTTTTAACAGTAATTCTTCCGGGAGGCTTATACATTATTCAAACATTTTTTTCTGTTTTCTTTCTGATGTGATCTCGGAGAGGATGTCTTAAGATATAAGTTTGGGATTCCATCAGCCCCCAAAAAGCAAAATTGATTTAAAGTACCGGGTAGGAATATTTTGAGATGTTTTGGTAGGCCTACCCCTTGAACATTTCTGGGGGGTAATGGTTTTGGACTTATTTTGTACATGTGTAATGCAGAGAAAACTGATTTTTTTTTTACACAAAAATGAGTGTGGATTTTTACTGAAAAGCTTAAAATCCATATTTTAATAAAATTTTTGTTATCAAATTTATTCCTTATTTCAATGAATTAAATGTTGGCTTCACTTGAATTTTTAAAATATTTGAAATTCAAAATTTAATAGAGGAGCTAGAGCATGGGGGAAATGACAACTTTTAATCACAATTTCCAAAGAAAATGAGTTCTCAAATGAACAGCACCCTCACTCATTTATGCATGTCCCCATAAGACTTCCCTACAGTGACTTAATAGCCATCAAGAAGCAAAAACATGTTCAGAAAAGTTCAATGTAGGTGGGAAAATACCAAGTCCTTTACTGAGAACATGAGAAAACAGAATTTTTCAGACCACTTTCATACATGTCATAGGGTTTGTGCACAGGGTGTCAAGTGGCGTCCGTAGGCCCATATGGAACTCTTGCCTCAGCCTACTTCCACAAGTGTACGATTTTTAGGCAAACATTTTAAATAGCAGTGTAGCGTACAACTCGCTATGTCATGTATGGCAAAGTTTCGGTTATTTCGATCAGGCCTCTGCTCAAGTTGTTCTGCCATCACAAATATTCGTGCCCAAAGAGCAAGCAAGGTCTCATTGAGGTCAGACGTCCGCTGTGTGAAGGTTATTCCCCTTATGCCTCATAAAACGGTGACATTCAGAGTATTTTGCCCATCAATGCCAAGGAAGATCAACAGCATGCACTGTCATTAAGGCCAATGACCAATCATAGAGCTGTTCCCATTAACGGGAGACAGGCAAAAAAGACAAAGATAGGAGCCACATTGCAATTGGTCAAGCTGTTAATATGCACCTGTCACTGATGAGAGAACTTGCTGTCGATATCCTGTAGCTTCTCACATGCGTAGTATACGTTCATTTCCCCATCCCTGGTCCTTCAAATACAAGAGCTCCGTAGGTCACGCCAACGAACCACGTCAGAATGGAGAGATGGAGGAGCCTGGTGCTACTGCTGGCCTTGCTTGCCGTCTGTCGGGCAGCTCCCGTCCTGCCGGAGAAAACGGACACAGATGACGAAGGGGATATCGAAGATTCTGAAGTATGTGAATCGGGGAAAGATGGCTTGTAGAATGGCAGTGATTGAAGCGGGACTGAATTGGCCTTGCAGCAGCAAGCCCTAACCGTCTAGATCAAGCATTAATAGACCGATTGCACCTGCTAAGTCACGTGACCTGTAGTGGGTATTAAATATCAACAAACGTGGTGTCCACCTTAAGCAAACTGTTTCATAAGTATCATTGACCAAAAATGAAGCCTACGTTTGGGAGGTACCATACTCGGACTACTGATGTGCTGGGTACTATGCCATAACTTGGCTTTATTGTTGGTAAACAACACTTGAAACACACGTTGCTGGGGGGTTGATAGCCGCTATACATGTAGGTCACATTATTTAGCGGCCGCAATCGGTCTGTTAGCCCTAGCGATCCCCAACCAGCCTAACTCCAATGCCAGGGTTTGTTGGAATCTGTTGGGATGAGAACATTGGCACACTGGCTGCACTTTACGTGAGATTTAGGCATGCCACAAACAGTCTGTTTACCATATGGTGTTGATATATGAAAGGATATGGAAGGTTGCTAGTATATGCAAATCACACTAGGGAGCTAGGGTTAAAATAGAAAAAAAATAAATTATACATTAACACTTAATGCGTTAACAAAATAAAACAACTTTTAAAAAAATTGGGGAAAGAGTTCCATGTATACCGACATTACTAATTTTCCCTGAAAATCTTATAACAGCCGTCATAAAGTGATCACATGTCCTAAAAGTGAAATTTAGCTAAGATTGCTTGTTATGAACCGTGCAATCAGATAGCTCAGTGTAGCGGATTTCATTCAAATGTTGCTCGTAAAAGGTTTATTGTCGATCATATTGGGACCGATGATTCCTTGGAAAAATGCCAGATTTCTGAAGTACATGTACATGCCATGCACGTGTGCCTCAAAGTGGACTTGCATATTGAAAAACAAAAACAAATGGCATCTTTCCCCTGGACTTTGGTATTCAATGTTTCAGTTACGACTCAGACTTCATTACATCTTTATTTTTAACAACTTGTTTTATTTTTTATTAAAAAATGTTGTTTAGCACACTGGCCTTGAGTATGACAGATACTTGAGGAAGGTCGTGAAGACGCTTGAGAACGACCCGGTGATGAAGAAGAAATTGGACGACCTCAGCCTGGACGACCTCAAAGTGAGTCTTCACAAACTCCTGACCCTCGTGGAAAATATCACGCATTTTTTGTTTTTTAAATCTCGGCTTTGCCTCCGTGTTTGTATTTGGATGTCAGTTTTGTAAATATAGTGTTCCAGGTGGACGCCCCTGGTCTCATTTTGGCTGTTCAAAGGTTCAAAGTGTAAATGTGAGGCCTGAGTTTGGAGTATTTCTTTTGGTTGCTAGAGGTGACGTTGGAAACCGATTGCACTGCTCCAAATATAGAATACAGTCAGAATCAAAGCCATTATTTGCCAACAAAGGCATTGATGTCAGAGGTCAGAGTTCGTAGGCCTACTGACTGTACATACCAGTAGATGCAATTGTTTGACCTACACAGGGTAGGCAGTTTCCAACCTTTGCGGCTGTGACTGACAGTAACACATGAGGCTGTGAACTAAGCCGCAGGCTGGTGGCTACCGTAGGTGGCTATGTTATTTCAAGCTATTACCAATTAATGCTGCCAGGGTTATACCTAAGGAAGGTCCCTTTGTGTGTGTGCATCGACGTGGTGTAAGTGACCAGTTTTAACTGAATGAGCACAAACTGTAGCATTTGTTCTTTTATCCCCTGATCCTTCAAAAATCCTAGGAGGTATTTGAAGGATTTTGTAGGATGAAGGAGGGTGGAGTCCATCCAATATGACTTTGCATTGGGTTTGAATTTGCCTCTCCTCACATTGTAAGATTTTGCAGGATCCATGAAGGTTCGTTGGAGAAAAAATGGTTCAGGAGTTACAGTTTATCCCACAAAATCTTTTTGAATTTTGGAAAACCTCTTAAGCTCAATCAATTTTCTTTGAAATTTTAGACTGGTAAGATGATGGAGATTTTGGATGGTGTCTCTGACAAGATGAGGGCCAGACTAGATGACCTGAAGCGCTCCGAAATACAGAGATTGAGGCAGGTTGCCAGACAACGCTTCCAACAAGCAAGTGAGTAGCTGATGGTGTTTGAATTCTAAGCCATGAAGTTTGATTGAAAACAGTTTCCGATTTTACCACAAAAAGATTTTGGTACCTGTGAAACCTTTGACGGATGCAATGTTCTTTAAATAATAAGTCTGAACTCTGAAACGCATTGAGGCAGATTGTGGTTCAAAGCTACGTAAAAAACTTTTTAAAAATGTAGCAAAGTCGAACGGTTTCCATTTTCTGGTCAATGTAAGCCGTGGACAGCATAAGAGTTTCTTTTTCCAGTATAAAACATGGTGTCCAGTTGCCACCAAAAATTGCTGGAGCAAAATACGTGTGCTTGTCACTGCTGCGTACTTTGAATTAACATTTGCCTGATACCGGGGCCCGTATCAGCTGCCGTGTTACATTTAGCAAAATTTCTGGGCTTGTGAAAGAAGTACCAGGAATTGCTTTTTACAAAACTATGATGGATGATGGACCCCACAAAATCTGACAAAATCACCAGTTTTCAACCTGATGCAAGACCAGCAACATTTATAACCTTTTCTCAACATTCCCTAATGTCGTAAACCGAAAGAAAACAGAACCAAAGATGACAGTTCAACATTGTGCCTTCTGGTATTTGGCCCGAATGAAATGTGACGTATGTGCACGTAGTTTCAATCTGTTCTTTTTTTTAGTGGTGTAAATTTAACAGACGTGTTTGCTTTATTTATATTGAATTCTGATGGTGTGTCTGATGGTGAATGTAATGTGAAGAATGAGTGAGCAGTCTTCCTCATTGTAACATCATTTGATTGAAATGCAGTCACCCTTTTCATATATGCATGTTTATCCCGGACACATGATAATGAAGTGATTGCTGTGCACCTGTTTTCATCATCACAATTTGACTCGCACGCTACCAGCAACAAGTGCTCCATCATCTTTTTCCCAGAATATTGTCAATTATCGAAGGCTAATTTTGGCTCAGATCAGAACTTCCGTTTGGTAAACTGGGCCAAGTGCCTTTCCTGGAAAATGTGTCTACAAAAGAAGCTGAACGATATTGGCCTAATATGCGTTATTATTTGAAAACTGTACAGTTTGGAAGTTGCAACAGGATCTGCTTTTCCTGCACCTGTAAAATGGTGGATCTGAGTGAAACTTAGACCATTATTGGATAGACAGTGTTAATTTTACTTTTTAAAATGTGCTCTGCATTAAACCAGGCCCAAGGGTCTTTTTTTAAATCATTTGTCGTACAGTCTGAGATAACATATCTCTTGACTAACCCATTCTGCATTTTTACAAGATTCATTTTAGACTCCGCTGAAAATTTGTGTTCACAAGACATCTCTTTTAATTTGTTTTCTGTTATTTTTGTTCACTGCTCTGCACATCACCACATTTCTTTTTGTCTTTTGTTGACATCGGCATAGTTTTTGATGATAATAGCACGACTAATGGAGGTTAGCTATGTTGCATGTTTTCAGTTGGCTGAGTCACGGCACACTGGTTGATTTCATTAGATTTGCAAAATGGGGTGCGCTTTGTCAAATCAAACGCTTCTGGGTAAAGATCAGACCACAAAACTATGAGGACTAATTTTTTCTCCTCAGATTTTCAAGGCTTCAAGTACATGCATAGTCGGCCCTATTTGTTCAAATCCGCAGAAAACATGGAAAAGCTTCAGTGTAATTTTATTCCCCAAATTTTTGTGTTGTATTTGGAAAAGGACCACTGTTGTAACCATAAATAAAGTTGTTGGCCCAAAACCATGACCGGCAGGTTCACTTTGAATAGGAAAAACTTTGCCAAGTAAAGCCTTTAAACAATTCTAAAAATGAGACAATTATGATGTTGGTGAAGGGATTGATCTATATTCTGAAGAGCTAAGAAATCAGAAGTCCTGATTCACTCCCAGCTGAGCCAACTCCATATTTAAATCTTTAGCGGGGAATTTTCTCAAAGGCCTTCGAGAAAGATCCTGCGGAAACTAAAACACCAGACCAGCCTTTAATCTTGAGCTTTGAAAGCAATGGCACTTTGGTTCATCCCAGTCAGCAATTCAGATATAATTTCTTTGTAATTGAAAAATTTATTTTCAACCACCTGCCCAGAGGAGTCTGCGTTTGATAGAAAGTATTGTAACTGCGTTGTTTTGCCAATCTCCTGTCGCTGCTGAGAGAAACGGTTCTGCACGAAAGTGGTTTGGTCACGCTGTGACTGACTTCATTATTAATCCTTAATACTCACAAACAAAAAGGCGTTTTACTAAAACATGCAAATGTAATTGAAGGTACATGTAATCCCACTACAGTACTTATTATTTCTATTTGTATTTTTTCAATTTTTGTTTTGAGAATAGCCTGTGATAAGAGGTCGGTAACAGCATGACCAAATTGCCACTTTGCGTCTATTTCCAAAACACAATATACTGGTGGTTTTTCTAATACTGGACACATGTTGGTGTACATCTGCAGCAGTGCTCATGTCCAGCAGGTGCACAATTGCAAATTGATTGCCTCTGCCAGCAAATTACCTCTTGAGTGACTATTTACTGGTACCGGTACGTATGTACCTGTGTTGTAGTTTGCTAGTTGCATGATCTGTTGTATGGCAAGTTTTAGTGCATGGCTAGAGCATGGTAACAGGCCAGCTGCTTGCTGCAAGACTAGTTAAAATGCATTCACATGTAAAGTACATGCAAACTATATATACGGTGATTTTGTAGTCAAAAGTTTACGCTCACTCGGACTGCAAGTTTATTTACCGCTATGACGATTTTTTTTTTCAATGAGGTTATCCCACCCAGCGAAAGCTGATCATATGGGTCCGTCTCGATGAAAGCGACGATCAAGAAATGTTCAGTTTAAGGGATAGTAGGAAAGTCCTGTATCCCGGGGAAAACACCCACAGAATCAGGCAGAGACTGAAAAACAAATGTCCACATGCCGTCCTCGGTGGGATTTGAACCCGGGCCGCAGGGGTGGAAGGCGAGGAAAGAACCACTACACCAGTCTGACTCCACCAGCATGGATTTATTTCTTCGTAAAGTTCTAGGATCTCAATTTCAGATGAGAAGTTGCTTGGTCTTGCTTAGAATTGCGCCCAAATTGAACATTTAAACCATGCCCTCATCAGACCAACTGCAGGCAACACCTGTTGTGTACATACACACCTGTTTTGTACATACAAAGTGTGGACATTCCTTTGTTCTCCTGTGGTTAAGGAAACTTGAGGAAAATGCTCCTTTTTCTCCAACTAGGAGAACTCCTTCGAGCTGGATTTTTGACAATGATTTCCTGGACTGTTCCTCTTCATTTTGCCACAGATAACCTTGACCCCAAAATGCCTCTGAAACTTTATCAGAGAGGGGAAAACATTGTGTGGACGTGTGCCATAGCACCCTACATTATGTGGACTTCTTTGTGCAGAGGTCCACACTATGTATGCCACGCCTGCACAAGATGTTTTACATGGAACCAGTGCTTTGTCAAATAAAGAACGAATTACTGATGTACATGTAAAGCAATAGAAAGGGCCTCCTTTCATTGCTCTCTTTAAAGTGACAGCTTGCCAGAAAGACTACATTTCACTGAGAATTTAGTCCCATAACCATCTTTAAACTGATTTTTCAATGATGATTTTGTCAGTTACTGTTTGAATAGCTTCAAAAGATGGACTGCACCTTGAACTCTTGAAATCAATTACCTGCTTTCCGACAAAACTGTAAACCTTTGACCACAGTTGAGCTGGTAAAGTTGTAGTTGACTGATGTTTTTATCCCATATTTGCACAGTTACATGTAGGCAGCCGTACTCGCGTGAGTGGCTGCGTTAAGTGCATTTTTGATTTGAAGAACAGAAAGTTTGGCAGGACAAAAAGTGCATTGACCCCAGATCCTTCAAAATCCCACAGGGCGCACTTCATTCGTTCCCTGATTGAATATCCATTATCTTTCATTAGAATAGATATTCCTCTTGCTTTGATTTGCGGCTCCCTTCGGTACCCAGCTTTGCCCCGGAGCTTGATACCGAGCGATTCTTTATTCTGCGATCGCATTGTGACCCGCTACATCAAAATCAGGAATAACATCGCCAATTGACTTCTTGAGACGTACATGAGAATTCTATAAGCTTTCAAATGGTACACATTACAAGTTTGTTGATGGTAACCTTACATACATACATTTCCAAAATGTACAGAAATTGCCACATCAATTTTTTCAACATTTACCCACATCCCCACTTCACTCGGCCATAAATGGCCTCGGTGACTTATTCCTGATTAGGACGTACCGGGTCACATTTCTTCATTTAATGTGGTAGCATTGCGCATAGAAAAATTACGTGTTTCCTTCATGACAACCTGCTCCCACAAAATGAGAATAAAATCAGTTCTGCAACCTATATGCATTTACAGAAACATACTTGAACAGTTTTCTTTACATGCCCTTTTTGGAATCTGAAAACTCTTATTTAACAGAAAACAGCTTAATTTTGGGTTTCTGCCCTGCCCGACGTGTAAACCCTGCATACACAGTGTATGCCCCCCGAAGGCTTGTGAATAAAAAAACCACAAGCTTTAACTCGGGTGGGACTCGAACCCACGACCTCCTGCTTACTAGTGCAGATGTCTTAACCACTCGACCACCAAGCTTGTAGGAATCAGCTGTAGCAGTGGGTACCGCGAACAACTATTTCAAGGATGGATTTGGGCTGGGGAGGTGTAAATTAATTTTGGATTTTTGCTCTGCCCGACGTATGTTGTGACCCGACATCTTTTCCTGGAAAGCTTTTGGACAATGTGAAACTTGTAATTACATGTAAAATGCGTCTGTCATTTGAATGCTTCACGAAATGGTAGAGCAGACTTGTTTCATTCGAAAAGAAATTGACTTATTTCTCATTTTGTGAGAGCAGTCCTATACCCCAACACGGAACACGCATCACCCGTGGTTTGATTTTTTACATTGTAACTGTTCATCACCCCGTCATTAATATTCACATCGCCCAAACAGATCATCGGCCCATGGATCAGAAACAGATCGAGGACATGACCGGCCATCTTGACATCAACAATATGGACCAGTTCGGGGGAAAAGATTTTGAAAAACTCATCAAAAAGGTATTTTTGAAGTGGAAACTCTTTGACATTGTTGGAGCACTAGGCTTTGGCGACTCCAGTAACAAAATCACTTTTGATTTCCCCCAAAAGAAATTACAAATGTTTTAGAAATCAACTGGTATTTTTTAAATGAAAAATGAAAGGAGTAATAAAACTTGGGAGTCAGTTGGAAATCTTTAAAAAAGATGGAGGCATTCTTCTAAGTACAGGTAGCTACATGTACATGTAATTGCCACCTAAACCCATATTCTTGAGTTCAGGATCTCAAGAGATGAAAAAAAGACCAACTTGCAGGCTGTAAACTCCGTTCAAGATACAGACAAAAAAAATCTGTTACAAGAATTGCCCAGTCATTCATGCTGTAGTAGGCCTGATTTCCAACGTGTCAAGCACCGCCTTGTCTCAACACCAGGTACCAAAACACAACTGTAAATGTATTGTACAAAATATAATTGAAAAAAATCAGTCACCGTTTCTGTGCAGTCTGGCATTGTCACCCAAGCCTAGGTGACAGTTTCCAGTGGGCTGCCTGTGGTTTTGTTCAATGAACGAGGTGTGCTGCAGTAATTTGTAGATACAGCTTAACGTCCAAAATTCACGACCAGAAAAGACTGTAGATGTACTGTAATTCGACCAGCAGAATTAGAAGCCATTACTGCAGTGGCACAACGCTTGTGGACAGGTGGTACGCGCGTTCGACCAATAGGGTGTCGTGATGTGCCATATGCACGCGCGTCAAGCTGAAGAATGTGCATGTGAGTGCGGTCCCACCGCAGTTATGGCGTCTAATTGGATTAGTCTATGACTGTCACTTATCGGAACACACATGTGTACTGTTGTTGACTTGACATTTCTGTGGTACGTTTGGCTCAAATCCTGTTGTTTGGCCGTTCTTTTAAAACTCTGCACAAACTTCATAAAGACGACTCTTGTGGCAAGTATTTAAAAAAAAAAAGACATTTTTAACTGCGAATGAAGCGAGATGATTCAACAGTGCACCACTGTGGAGGTAAGTTGTACTTTTCTGTTTCTGACCACAACACGGTGGCCATGACCTGACAATTTGGAGGTAAGACAACTCCTTTTCCTGCTAACCATTTTTGAGTTGCTTTTTTGCCAAGCGCATGTGCATCGATTCACCTTTCAAAGCTCCATGACCCAGCACCTAATGTTTCTACCCTCTGCACTTAAAAAAAAGTTCACCACTATTCATGTTTTGCATCATTTCCTTCCGGCACCATGACCCGAGACTGAAATCAAACAGGAAGTGTGTTCGAATGTGTGATGAAAGTTGGCGATGCATGGAGGGCCAGGGATGATGACTCATGTACATGCGTGTACAGGCAGACGGGTTGATTTTTTTTTCCAAGAAAGCTCATCAAAGTCAGGCATACATTTGCAATAACAGAAAAGGAGAAATGGACAGAATGTTAGCATTTTGCTATTTTCCTAGAGAGGGCCCAATTTCACCGAGCTGCTTAATAGTTTAACAGAAAAACAGTTTTAGCAGAAAAAGTCTGTCTTACTACATTTATAGCGGAAAAATTTGTTAGCCGTTAGCACTGTTTTGTGGTGGTGCTTGGCCTAGTTGTTTTGTTAAAACTTTGCTAAGCAAATTTTTCCTCTGAGGCATGCAAACCTGTTTACGGTCTCCATGAAATGCACAGAGCCTCTGTAAGGCATAAAATTGCATGCTTAGCAGCATCCTGAAATCAGGCCCAGGACTGCTGAAAGTGAGTGACCTATCTGTCGTTAATGATGTACATGTACATTTATAGCGGACAAAACGAAAATTCCCCAAGACATCCAAGACATGCATGCTCATATAGATGTGTACAGCAGAAGCTTTGGAAGTCAGGATCTCAGCAAGCTACTCAAGAAGGTGAGGTGGGAACTTATACCAAAACACTCTGAATGCCAACCCTCCCTGATCCTACAAACTCCTCCGGAAGGGCTTTGGCGGAGTTTGCAGGATTGAGGAAGGTAGAGCCCAGCCGTTGTTACCTCGCATGGGGCTTGGTGCCCCTTGAAAGTTGAAGTACCACCTTTAGGAATGTGGCATTGGTTTCCTGCACAGTGCAGGATTGAGGAAGGTTTCTAGCAAAGAAACCTTGGGGAGCCTTGGGGCCAAGTTAATATTGAATTCGTCGTTGGCTGTCCATGTGATTCATGGATGCTTACATGTAAATTTCGCAGCTAGTAGCGGAAACTCACATAGAAACCGCATCACTCACCAGACGAGATAGCACATACTGTCTACAATATAGCAGTTTTGGCCTTCACATTTGTGAGGTGTTTCGTTTCAGTCCGCTGCGTTACAAAATGTCTCGGGAAACTCGTTGACCTGTGTAATTTATCTGTAGTGCACAAACTTAGAGTAATATGCTTTGTGAGATGCATATTCCTAAAGAAACGTTGGAACTATGTTACCAGTTAATCTCATGTCAGAAGCTGTCCCATAAAGGAAGATACTGGTAGGGTGTCAAAAACCATTTAGGCACCATTTTGTGAATATCAAATTAAAATTTGGTCAACAGAATTCCTTTAAGTCATGGTGTAAGACATTAAATTTGTATAATTTTTATTGACTTTGAGAGTTTGATAACATCTTCCTCATACAAAGTCATTAGTTGAAAACTTTCCTCAAGGTGAGTCTGCTGAACTTTGTTTAAATCTTACATCGTAGATACACGTGGTAAATTGCACGGATTTGGAAAGTAAGAGATGAGCCACTTATAAATGGTATTATTCCGCAAGAGACTTGGCCAATATACAGTATTATTTCAGCTATTATGTCGACTTTGTATGCCAAGAAGCCACAACCACGGCGAATCAGTTTTCCGTGTAAAAGATGTGCTTATTGTCCTTGGGATAAACCATCACGCAGTGTGTGATATGGACCGTGGTATACATTACATGGTCTGTTGCCATGGATCAGCCAATCAGGATCAAGCATTTAAGTTTGCTTGTAGATGCATGTACATGTAAGTACATGTACAGACCTGCACATGTATAATGAACTGGAGAAACTGCTTTACGAAAGATATCAAGTTGTTTGATTATTTCTTGCATATAAAGCCGCTAATACAACCATCTTTGGCCAAACTATTACACTCTTATAAAGCCCTGAACGTGACCAAGGTTTTTCTTTTTTCACTCGAGGCCACGGAGGATCTGGACAAGGCAGACAAGGAGCGCAAGGAGGAGTTCAAACGCTACGAGATGCAGAAGGAGATCGAGAGGCGGCAAAAGCTGAAGGAGATGGATGAGGCCAAGCGGAAAGAGGCCGAACAGGAGCACGAGGAACGACGCAAGAAGCTGAAGGAGAAACACATGAAGCATCCGGTGAGTACAGACAACCATTAGGTGTGCGCCTGAACAGAAGAGGGCGCTCTCTTAATGAATCCACCAGCTAGATGCTGAAGGAGAAACACATGAAGCATCCGGTGAGTACAGACTACCATTAGGTGTGCGCCTGAACAGAAGAGGGCGCTCTCTTACTGAATCCACCAGCTAGAAGTTGAAAAAGAAATGTGAAACATTTGTGGAGTACAAGTGTGTCCTATTGAGTACAGATCTGCGACTGTTGCCATGAACCGAACAGAGCTCTCTTTATTTCACCAATAACTGTTAGCTAGAAGTTGGGAGGGGCATGAAGTACTTGGCTTGCATGGTACAGAACGGATTCTATTGGGTGTGTATGTGAACAGTTGGGGTCACTTTATAATTCAACTCATCACTGAGACTCTTGAGTGAAAGATTGACACGTTCAACGCTTGTAGAGTACAGACCAGCAGGTGCTACCAACTGAAGAGGATACCGTTTACAGGCCGGTTCATACTCGACGTCAGATCGGGTATTTGCACTGCGAATTTGCAAAAGTTGAAGACATTTTTCACTCGAGTGAAAGTTTGCTGCGAATCTTTCATGATGTTGAATTCGCTTCGCTTTCACATTCACCTGAAGTATAAAACTGGTCTTAATTCAGCTTGTTACCAATAAAGTGAAAGAAAAACTTGGGAAGCTCTCTCAAAAATTTAGCTACAAATAATACCGCACACAAGTGCTTAATGCTGTCCTTATTCCTTTTTTGGGGGGATGTTACTTTTAGGGGAGCAAGCCCCAACTGGAAGATGTCTGGGAGGAGACAGACCACCTGGAACGAGAAGACTTCAACCCCAGGACTTTCTTTAATCTGCATGACACCAATGGTGATGGCACCTTGGACGCCTTTGAACTGGAGGCGCTGTTTGTGAAACAGGTGGGCGCAGTCAGTGGGTCTATTGATGAATCTTTGCTTTATCTCAACTTGTGTTATTCCGTCCACTATATTCTGCCCCTTCTCGATATTCTGCCCTGCATAATATTCTGCCCTGCATAATATTCTGCCCTGCATAATATTCTGCCCTGCATAATATTCTGCCCTGCTCAGTATTCTGCCCTGCATTATATTCTGCCCTGTTCTCTATATTACCCTGCGTTATATTCTTCCCTGCTCAATATTCTGCCCTGCATTATATTGTACCTGGCTCTATATTCTGCCCTGCTCTGTACTCTACCCTGCATTAATAATATTCTGCCCTGCATTAATTACATGTATATTCTGCCCTGCATTATTTACATTCTGCCCTGCATTATATTCTGCTCTGCTCTGCTCTATATTCTGCCCTGCTCTATATTCTGCCGTGCTCTACATTCTGCCATGCTCTATATTCTGCCCTGCTTACATTCTGTCCTGCTCTATATTCTGTCCTGCTCTATATTCTGCCATGCTCTATATTCTGCCCTGCATTATTTATATTCTGCCCTGCATTATATTCTGCCTGGCTCTATATTCTGCCCTGCTCCGTATTCTACCCTGCATTATATTCTGCTCTGCTCTGTATACTTCCCTGTTCTGCCAGTATATTCTGCCTTCGTCTGTATTTTGTAGAATCTATATTCTGCCCTGTATACATCTCTTTATCCTATGCTCTTCTTTGATCTGTCTAGTAATGATAATAATATAGATTTATATAGCGCACTTATCCAGAAAACCGATCAAGGCACAAGTCCATTATTATTACCCCTGCTCACTGTGCCCATGAAACATTCCAAGTACCATCTTAGCTTCCTGGGGAGTATACACCTCTCTACTGCTTTGTTCTTTTGCCCCAGTCTGCTGCATTCTACTGTTTCATATCCTGCCCTGTATTCTGCTTTGCATTCTGTGCATTTTTCCTCTTTTTTCTGTTTCTGCTTTACAGTTTGGTCTGTTGTGTGATTTTTTTTAACTACCTCCTGTGATAGCGTCCAGACCTCCACATTATCGGTTGTCCAATTACCGCACAAGTGGCAAAAACAATGTCAAGACCCGATAACATCTGTGTATAATATCACTAACTCGGCTTGAAGATGCTTTTTAACGAAACCTTCCTTAGTAGAAATTTCCCACCTTCCAGGCCTACCTTTGAGCTATTAACATAGATATTCCCCCCACGATTGGATTTCTTCCCGACTCCTTTCTAGGTACGCAAGCATTATGAGATGGCGGATAATTCCCATGTGGATCCGGTCAAAGTCAGGGAAGAAATTGCCCGTATGAGGGAGCATGTCTTGACGGAGGTAAAGTAGAACTTTCCGTGGTGATCGGTGTTTTAAAACCAGACCTCTCTTCATCTCTTCTGTCTTTGTCTGTGCTCAGGTGGAAAAAATGTATGCCGAACGTCACAACTCCGACCCCAGAGAGAAATTTGAAGAGATTTCTCGGATGCGGGAGCATGTTATGAATGAGGTATTGTAATTGTCCTGCTCTGTGATTGGCCCCTTGTTGCCGTCATGCTTGTTTCTGATTTGCTGTTTGCCCATCCACGACCATTTTTTTTTTCAGTTTGCACGTTTTGTTGCCGTTCTATTTTCACTTTTGAGAAAGCACTATAAAGACGTTTAGGCCGTAGTGTTTGCATGTGTTTGTTCGTGCACTGTCTGTCGGAGCCATCAGGTCTTCTATGACATTTTTGTTATTTGACATTTTGCCAAATTTGATTGGCTCACCATTTTCAGGAAAGCAGTTTCATTGGCTGCATGTCAAGCAGTGCATATCTGCCTGCAGGTTAAAACTTTGCCAAGAAGCCAACCCTTTTTCCCATTCATGCATTCTGCTTCTTCCGTTGACCATGTTTTAGTGCGTATGCTGCTAGAGACACTGACACAAGCGCATCCAAAAATGTCAAACACTGAACACTCACCCACTTGTTTTGTTTCTGCGTATTCACTCAGCATGTTTCTATTGCTATTGGCTACAATCAGCTGCGCACGAATGCCCAGTCCTTAGTTTGCATCGGAGGCCTTATCGGCACATGCTTTCTCACTGTTTAATCCTCCTCCTCGTTTGTCTGTCGCTGTGCGAGATAAACCTCTGCAGATCCAGAACTAAGCACTGGCTTTGTATTCCAGCACAGGTAATGGCAGTGAGGATAAGCACACGAGGGCGCTATTCACGTGTGAGCTATAGTCACAGACGCGTAAAAGCACAGAGCTCCAGTCATGTGCATCAAAGGTCAATCGGGAAAAGTGTTGGCAACACAATGGTTTAATAGCAGGGCACATAACCATGTTCCCTGTGCTTACAGTGCATATGATACGTTTATATTGTCTGTGTTTGTTCCTGCTTGCGAAATACGTTTTTTCTTCGTTGTTTGAATCGTCGTGGGCCACATTAAGGACATGTAGGGTTTCTTTGTACAAGTACAATGGAGAAATTCCTTCCTGGAATTTTGTGGGGAGAGTAGAGGTTCTCCGTTGGCTGGTGTCGCAGAGACTGTTCTTTGTTATTTTAATGTGTCGTTACAATGGATGCGCAAAAAGTTTACTTGAGCGTATCCCAGAGGAAGAAATATATACCCCTCTAACTTGACGTCACACGCATAAGGTCTATTCCTCACCTATGCGTAAAAACCTCAAGGTGAATTCGCCTACAGTTTTACTTTAGTCTGGCGCCACGCGGTTCATGAAATTCTCGTGTAATTCTGAATATGATCCGACGGTTCATATATTAATATGTCTGTAGCTTACTCAGCAGGGGAAACAATTGGAAATACGGCTACTGGAGAGGCAGTTTGAGCCATAGGCTGTTTCTAAAAGTTGCGACTGTGCCAACGGTAGCCGTGGCAACCCACTGGCCACAACCACTTGTGACAGACTATTGATTCAGGCCTTATGAGAAACAAGCTTGTGTCAAGTCCCGGTATTCTTGACAGCAAAAGCCCATTTGCATGTAGTTGACAGGGATTGGGACCAAACTTGAAAAATAAGAATGATTTCTGACCTCACTGGTTCCCATTCACTTCTATCACGCATTTTAGCATTTATTAAGAACCATGGCATACCAGGGAATTGTTACCATGACATTAATTGCTGTGATCAGTATTGGAGTTGATTGCATTGTGGTTTGGGTTCACTATGGACTGAACCATTAATCCTTTTTTAATATCAACCATTTCATCAGTTACCTCATAAATGCAAGTTGAATGCATTTATCTCCAAGCAAATTGGACACTGTTAAAAAATTATTTGGGTTAAGGCACAAAAACACATTTACCCTTGGAATAGAGCAGCATTTCAGGAGTGTGATACTGACAGTGGTATGTGGGAATATTTTCCTCAGTCTGTTGCTGTGGATCAACCAATCAGGCTCAAGCATTCAAATTTGCTTGGAGATAAATTACATTTAAATAACCGAGTTTGTCTAAAATCAATTATAGATGTGTAGGGCTGATACCAATGAGGCAGTTATCTGTGCACAAACAGAGGCCTTTCCTCTTTTTGCCAAGCCTCGCCCATTCCATTTCACCCCTCTTTACTGGGTCATTCCATGAGGTTGGAGCACAGCTTGTTGACGGTGTCTCTCTTACATCTTCGACTTTTACCACCTGTCATGACCTGTAGAGTAGGTCATTAACTCTGTAAAAATAACACACACCTCTGTGTTCAGCCGTGCAAGACGTATAACAATGTCAATTTGGAATCCACCTGCAGGGAAATAGCTGTTCATTTTTACGGAACCCACGTAACAATTGACACCGTCACAAATTGTGCCCCAACCTCATGGAATGACCCAACTTACTGTGTGCCTCTCCAAGGAGCACTGTGCTGTTTGTTTCATGGGTAAAAAACAGAACCACATGTGGAAAAAGACAATTTCAACTGGATCATTCTGTAAACTTGGGGTCCCAAAGTATGTTTGTGTCCATTTCACATGACCTGTGTAATGTGGCATGGAAATATCACCCATATTCAAGAGTCTCCAAACTCTTTTCTTTCTTTGCCAGGTAATTTGCATTATTTGGTCTTTCTTGGAATTAAAGAATATGTTTGATGGTCAAATATGACAGAACTTCTTCTCCCCCGTTTAAATATTATCCACTCAGTCATTAAGCACGTGTTTTTTTTTTTTTGGCTATGTTGTTAACAGATTGACAAGAACAAAGACAAGATGGTCAGCAGGAAGGAATTTATGGAGGCGACTGAGGCTGAAGATTTTGACGAAGACAAGGGATGGGATGTAAGAAAAAGAATTTAATTTAAAAAAAATTGAAGTGAAAAGATTTGACTTAAAACAATTTTTTGCAACTAGATTTGATGTAAACAGGACAAAAATAGACATAAAAAATTGAAAGAGGAATGACACGGGTGTGCAATTTTTCCTCAGATTAGCTGATCTCCTCATTTTCACTTCACATTCATGCCATTGAGAATTGAAAAACACAGTACAAAGTCCTATGAAGAAATTTTAAAGAAAATTGTAAAGGAAATTGGAATTTCTTCATTTTTGTCCAAGTCCAATTTGCATGCCTGATGCATACAACGATTATCATTGAGGATATGGAGAAAGGTTAGGTCTTCACTTGACTGCCATTACCTTTTGGGCTCCCAATGTCTGTGTGAACTCCCTTCACCTATGTGCACATTCAGATGAAAATAAATGAGCTGCACACCATGCCATAAGTCTTAGAGCTGGGCGAAAAACTTGAAACGAACGTTCTGGGTTAAAAAGAGAGTCGGGTAAGGACTGAAAACTCAGTCAATGTGGACTGGGCTGGGAATAGAATTTGAATGGGTGATGAAAGGCAAAGAAAGAAGCACCCCTCCAGCCAGACTCCCGTTGAAAAAATTAGCGCTTGCAAGAAATCAGTGAACTTCTGTAAGATTGTTCCGATCCCCCAATTTGACATAAATTTCAGCACGCCCGTGTGCACTGGTTAGGGTTTAAGATGCTCACTTAGTGTGTGAGTAGTTAACGTCCTTTTCGACTAACAGCATGAACGTAACGATCCCCAACCTGCCAAACTTCAACACCGGAGCCTGTGGGAATCTGTAAGGATGGGGACTGAAGTAGTACTGTGCTTTATGTGGGATTGGGCGTACTAAAACAGAGTCCAACTGTTTCTGGGCACAGTTTACTCTGTGGTGTATATGGTGTTTGGATTTGCAAGGACGAAGAAGGTTCCTTGTAAGGTCACTCTAGGGAGTTGGGGTTTAAAGTGACAGAAAGTCTTCTTAATTACTGGGCTCTTTGGGTAGGACTTGGAGGAGCAAGACATCTACACCGAAGATGAACTGGAGACGTACGAGAAGAATATACAGGAGGAGATGAAGAAGTTGAAGTTGAGGCTACAGCAGGAGCACGACCAGTACAAAGAGAACAGAGTGCCGCAGCCTGGTGATCCGGTGGTCATGAATCAGGTGAGATTCAAACCTCAGACAGTGAAATAACGACCAGTACAAAGAGAACAGAGTGCCGCAGCCTGGTGATCCGGTGGTCATGAATCAGGTGAGATTCAAACCTCAGACAGTGAAATAATGAGATGCAGAAACCCCCTGATCCTGCATGTAGTGAGATTTGAACTGCAGACCATGATATTAAGGAGTTTAGAAATTCCAGTGGTCATGTATCAAGTGAGATTCGAACCTTGGACAGTGAAATAACAAGATGCCTAAATTTTTTGATCCAGCACCTGATGAGATTCGAATCTCAGACCTTGATATTAAGGAGTTGAGAAATTTGAATCTTACATGTATATCTTACAGTGAAATAATGAATGCACAGATCTTATCTTTCTGCATCTTGTAAGATTCAAACCTCAAACCATGATGTTGAGGTGTTGAGAAATCAGGTGAGTCGGGTCAGATTCAATCCTTAGTGAAATAAGGAGATGCAGAAATCTTATGATTCTGTTCTTTTTAATATTCAAACCTCACACCTTGACACTCAGGAGTTCCAGTGATCATCAACCAGGTGATATTCAAATCTTAGACAGTGAAATATTCAGATGCAAAAACGGTACAATCCTGCACCTTGTGAGATTCGAACCCCAGACCATGACATTGAGGAGTTGCAAATTTCGAGTGGTCATGAATCAAGTGAGATTTGAATATTTTTGATAGTGAAATAACGAGATGCTGAAACCTACCTAATGCTGTGCTAGGTAAGATTCGAACCTCAAGACCATGGTCACAGATCAGGTGAGATTCAAAATGTAGTGATATAATGAGAAGAAATCTTATCATCATGCATTTGAAATTCAGGAGATTAGATAACTCTGGCAAGATCCAAACAGACCATGAGCTAAAGAGATGCACAGACCTAGTTGGAATGAGCCATTCCTCATAGAATGAGATAAAGAGGTGCAGAATCTTTTGTGGAAGTGAGTCAGATGAGAAAAGAACTGCAGACAATGAAATGGAGATATGTCCAACATGGACTAGCAAGATTCTAACCTCAAGACAGTGAAATGAGAGAAACTCCAGGGGTCAGGAGTCTGATGAGATTCTAACCTCAGACAGTGACCAGGGGCTAGCGAACCTGAAGCTGAAGATTCACGAGGAACTTGATCAAGTAAAATGGAAGTGAGATTCGAACCTCATACAGTGAGATTTATTGTCAAGATATCAAAGCTGAAGCTGTCTACACGGGAAATCAAATACGACAGTCGGGACAAATGAACAGAATACCTGGGAGTCAATGCAGAACACGAAACATCCCAAAAGATTTATCGCTTTTTTTTTTTTTAATTTAAACACAGTATCTGATTTCTTTACTGTTTGGGGATCACTTTTTTTTACCACATCCAAATATTTCTGCTTCACAGATAAGCCATAATGCAGCTTTAATTACAGAAACAGTCCTGTAATGTTTTGCCAAAGATGTCCATTGATCGTCTCTCTTCGAGGGCCTCCAAATCTTCCCTAAAAACATGTAATAGGCCTTACCTTCTCCATTGACAAATAACTTATTGTTGGGGGCTTCCTGAGTTACGTTTTGCCCCGATGTCCCTGTTTCTGGGCCTTTTGCCTTTTCTACCTTCAACTCTGTTATCCCAATGTCAAATTATCCACGGTTCGGGGCCACCAGCAATTGTTAAACACCAACAGTTCATGTATACATCCCCCCCCACTGTCCATGGTCCAGGCCAAAGCAGCTATCTCCAATCCCCAGCAGTTGGCTGACCAAGTAATCCAGGCCGCTGCGGATCACGAAGCTGAAAAATTCCACCAAGCCAGTCAGCAAATGAAGAAACTGGTAGACGAAGTGGCCAACCAGGTCAAGGCAAACGCACAAGGGGGGCAAAAACCGCAAGACAATACACAACACCAGCAACAGCAGCAGCAGGTAAAAGAATTCACCGTTGCATCCTCGTTGACGTGGCTGACTGGTTGCGTATCGTTTGTGTCTCACAAGCAACGTCTCGTATGTACACCTGTCTTTTTGCCACTGCTGATGCAACATGTTGCGACAGCGACGTGCAACATGTTGCACCCCCATTCTCAGCATCGCCAACTGATTCCAGATTGTTTCTGTAAATGAAGTAACATTTGCACTCCACCTTCTTACTAAAGGCAAAACATGTTCTAGCAAATTTGCTACCGGAACATGACTAACTCATTGTACAACATCTGTTGCAAAGCGTTGCATCCTCGTTGCATCACATTTTCAACATGACTAACTCATTCTACATGGACGGTACTGTGCTTGTTTTTCACGATCAAAGTGACATTTGTACTCTGTTCTTTCCCAAAAGGCAAACTGATCACAGAACTGCTCAGTACTGTGGCAACATGTTGCGACAGCGGTGCGTACAACATGGGTTGCAAAGCGTTGCATCTCCATTGCATCACATTTTCATCATGGCTAACTAATTCCTGATGGCTTGTTTTTAACGTGAAATAACATGTACACAGCTGTTTGCCATTGGAAAGCTAATCACAGACCTACGGGCTGCTGTTGCGACGTGTTGCAACAACGTTGCTCATATTTGCAGCACTCAACTCTTTTGCTGAAGGCAGACTTTTCATGGAACTATGCACTCCTGTTGCAACACAACCTTCTTTGCTGCACACTTTTCAAACACCTGTTGTCTCTGTCGATCTTTGCTCTGAACAAACTCTTGTACACGTACATAGCTGCAACACCTGAAGTTAAAGCTCTAAACGTGAAAAACTCTGAACATTGAAAATCCTGAACCATGAAAACTTTGAATGTTGAAAACTCTGAATTTTGAAAACTCTGAATGTTGAATTGCCTTCATCTGTCAAAACCCCAAAACAAATTGGTTACCAGGTCCCACAAAACGAGTCATAAGGTCATTTTGCCAGTATTTTATGTGTATAAGGAAAGGTAAACAGAGTTCTTGGTCTTGAAGTATCACTCAATTTGGCATCCAGATGTAAATGGCCAATATGCGGGCAAAAAAAGTTGATACCGTTAGTTTCTGTTGGTTTCCCTAGTGCAAGATTGTTTTGCAGTCCTGGAACTCAAAGTGGTGCCAGCGAATTGTCATTTATTTCATTAGGCTGAGTCATATTTACATGAGCTTTGAAGCTGTCCACTAAAGTTGTTAAAAAACCCAACTTCCCTTGCATTTTCACTTTGAACCTTCATCAGTCCTTCAAAAATCCTCCACCTCTGCTGGAAACCAATGGCACATTCTTTGCACATCCGCTTTCAAGGGGCATCAAGCCCCATGTACATGTACAGTAACAGTGGCTGGGCTCTACCTTCCTTAATCCTACAAAATCCCCCACTTTGTCAGAAGCCAATGGCTCATTCTTTGTACCTCCACTTCCAAGGGGCATCAAGCACCACACAAGCAACAGTGGCTGGGCTCTACCTTCCTCAATCCTGCTAAATCCTCCAAAAACTCCGGGCAGATTTTGAAAGATCTGCAAGGGTGGAATTACTGAATTCTTCAGTGTTAAAGTACATGTGTTTCAGCCATGACTAACTTCAGATGCACAAAGCTTTAGAAATGTTTCTGTTCGAGATAACTACTAATAAATATGCTTTGCTACGTAACAATTACTAATGAATATGCACTGCCACATAACAACCACTGCTCATGAACTTCGTGAATATTCATGTCATCTCATATTAACAAGTCATCATATTTTCTATGTGGACAGAATAGTTAACATGTACCATTATTCCTTGTATCTAACCTTTCTATTTGTCAGCCATGATTAGCATAACTCGACGGTGTATTAACCCTAACAGCTCTGAATCCTCCAATTTTGATATGATTTTGCACACACCCTAGGGAGTTAGGGTTAACACTCGGTGTTTAACTACAGTATTGTTAGAAAGGGATGCCTCATCTGTTGGCATCGGCAAAAATTTTTTTCTGATCAGTAACGCTGTACCACAGCCAGTGAATGTCAGATTTTCTAACCCAAAAAAGCTGCTGGGGGCAGGATTTTTGACTACCAGATTCTTCAACCGTGCAATTGCGCTTTGGCCCAACCAAGCGGGACGCATTGATACAGTGGCCGTGAAAATAAAACACATCCTCTGTAGACAAATAAAGAAAATTATGTTTCTGTACACGTCGTCCAGCTTCAAGTGGTTAATATACATGTATATAAACCCCCCAATTTAAAAATACTTCCCTCCTAAATGCTGAACTCTTTTGTGATCATGCTACACTTTGTTTACGTACATGTGCGTTTTCCTACGGTTCTCAGTGGACCGTGGGCCCCTGCTGGCTCTGTAGGGAAGTGGTGTCATCAGTGCAGAGGTTTTAACTTTTAAAGTTCATGAAATCTTGTCACATTGAGCAACGGAAACAGTTCAGATTTAACACCTGTTCTATTTGTGTCTCAATTTCAATTTGTCAGTGAATGGAAACGAACTCCAAGGTAAAGACGAATTCCTGTGTTACTCAGCGTTACTTGCTTGCACTGTTCTTTTGCTTTCCTTTTCTTGTCATGCCGTTGTGAGGCACCGTTTTTGTCTGTTGTGGTTTTTGCATCATTGCTTTTTTTGCGAGATGATTCTCTGTGTTGTTTCAGAGATCTGCACTTTTGTTGTTTTGTATTTCTGTGTACATGTATTCGGTTTTCATGCTGAAACGCCACAATTTTCAAAATGCGCAAACAAGTGGGAACGTGGTTTGCAATCCAGGGATCTAACATTCATTTTCTAACCACATTTTATATCTTTTACTTTTTCAATCCCTCAAAACCTTGGAAATATATTTTCTTACCAAACTAGTTACATCATGCTATAGTAGTACATGTTTGGAGGGCCCTTTTTGGCTCAAATAGCTTATCATTATGAGTTGTTGCTTATCTTGTTAGTATTTCTACAGAAATTAGTCACCTGTTATTTTGTTTGGATGAAGCCTTTTATATCAATGTACAGTTTGAGAGACTTCAATTTCAAATCCAAATGTCTGCTCTTGAGATTTCCTTATCTGCTTGCTTTGCTCTTAAAATGTTTCGTTTTTTAAAAACAGACATTTTTGAGTGTGATCTGAAAGTTTCAACAATTGTGCAATGATTGCAAGAAATGAACCTAGGGTCTATGAAAAAACGTAGCTCTAATGAGTGGAGCGTTAGTATTCCTCTTCGAATTTGGACGGGATCTTTCATACTAACGCTCCACAACATTACATATAGTCAAGTGACAACGGTTCTCAAAATTCCAAAGACTTACCGAAAATACCGGTACCTTTTTCACCGCCTACTAGCTTTCTTAAATGCCGAAGGCAAACTTGTGGGGCTTTGGTGGTATTTCTGACTTCACAATGTATCAAAATCCAACTGTTTTGCTCGACACACGCACAACACCAAAACTTATCAACGCCTGCTCCATTCAAATATGCAGGGCGAGATTTTGCTACCGCAATAACTCTATGGGCAAGCATGGTTAATACGTACGATCCCGTCCAAATTTCAAGAAAGAGGAATACTAACACTCCACTCAGTAGAGTTACGTTAGAAAAAGCTATAAAAGAGCGTATGCCAGGCAATACAGTGAAGGGGCCCAGTCACGATAGCAGTGTTTCCACAATGATGATAGATTTCTGCAAGTACAATTTACATGTATCTCAACATCAAAAATATTTTAAATTTGTGAACAGGCGTACCAGCTTAAAGTTTGAATGAAATACAGCTTTCTCACAAAGTTGTTCTTCCCTTTTGCGCTCAGAAACGGACGAAACAAATCTCACCCGTCAGTTTTGACATTAAAAATGGACGTGAATGATTTCAGAAGAGAAGATTGCTCTCTGGTCTGTAGAGAGTCTCTTGTGACAGCCTCCACACCGATGCACATGGGGAACAGGTTGTGGAGTGCTCAAGGCATGGCAAAAATGTAACACCGTCTTAGAAACACTGCTTTAGACCCTATTCACTTGAAGGCTATTTTGTTCCCTAGATCTGTTTTATATATTGCAAAATGTAGATTAGGAAGGCACCAGACTGTTTTATAATTTCACGCGTTCCAAGCCTCCCTTCCAAAAATGTTCAGAATCTGGCGAGGTATTATTCTGTATGTTCAATCGTGAATTTGAAATTATTCATCAGAGTAGACAGGTGCAAATTTGTCATGAAATTTCATTTTATTGTTTTGATTTTACTCCCAACATTAAAAAATCAAGGGCTAACCTCGCTTTCAAATTCAATATGGCCGTCCCCATGAATATAGTCTTATGAACTGTGACAGTGACTGACTGGCCCTGTTTACCATGTGCACGAACAGGAATATCACTGAAATGTCACATCTGTTTTCATGCCATTTTGCCATTTCTTACATTTGCAGTTTATAATGCAAAAAAAATGCCAAAAGTAAAATCTGTACGTAAAGTCACTGTCGTTCAAGTTATTTTTTGCACATCATGATGTGTTGGTTGTTGTTCACTATGTTCACTGGCCCATTTGCTGGAATATAATTATCAATATTGGCACTTAAACCATGCTGCACATATTTTTTCTTTCCGCAAAAAAGCGTGGTCCAAAGCTCTCATATTTTAAGTTGCTGCAGCTGAATTTTCAATGCTCCAGGGTGCTGTGTTTGCCATGGTCTCGTAGGACTGTGTCCTGCAATAGTATGGTCTATGGTGTTCTACGTGTGTGTCTAAAGTATTCTGTATGGTCCATGATATTTTGCATGGTACTCGTGCTTTGTGTGGCGTAATTCATGGTATGCTGTATGGCCAATGTGTGGTCATGCTTCATGGTGTGGATCTACATATACTGACGTATTAAGTATGATACTGTCTGTGGTATGATATACATGTACATGTGATGGTGCAAGTATTCTGTATAGCCCATGATATTTTGCATGGTACTCGTGCTTTGTATGGCCTTATGCATGGTATGCTTTATGGCCAATGTGTGGTCATGCTTCATGGTGTGGATGTACATGTACTGATGTACTGTGTATGATAGTGTCTGTGGTATGATATATGACACATGTAATGGTCCAAGTATTCTGTATTGTATTCTTGGGTAAATCGCACACGGTGCAGTACCATTGCCGTGGTTGCTCACAGTAGGTTGGTATTCTTCAGAATTTATGGAATATACATTTTGTTTCTCTAATGAGCCTTTTGCAAGGTAAATTTGAATAAAGTCTTGTACACTGAGTTACTCGTATCTGATTGCACTTTAACATGACAATTTGCATTCCCCAGACTAAAGACACGGTTGCTGTACCTCGTGATATGGGGCAAGCTTTTGCATAGCGACCACCATCTCTGGAATGGACTGGTTCCTTGGTGCCCTTCTTATCCATTGAAAACAGTGTATTGAGGCAAGGCGTCTCTTATTGTAACTAAGCAAAAGCTTGCCCCGAATCACGAGGTATTGGTAACAGTGTCTTTAGTATGGAGAATTCAAACCGTTATGTTCACCTGGATTGAAAGAACTCAGTGTACCAGCTTTTATTCCAATCTAACTGGCAACAGGCTTATTCTGGTTAATTGGGATTATGCTGTTTTGTTTTCATGGCGTTTCCAGCCACTCCGGCTATTTGCGCCAGTAAGATTTATTCATAACCATTATTAATCAGCATTACATTACGGACTTGGGAAGAAGGTCTAGTTTTAGAGGCAGGAGGAAACCGGAGTACCCGGAGAAAACCTGCGAGAGCGAGTATGGACTGGAAACCAAATGCGCTTAAAGCCTGGGCCAAGCCGGGACTCGAACTCGGGCCTCATTGGTGCAAAGCGAGGAAAGAACCGCTACGCTAACCAGCTCCCCCCTAATTGGGATTATGCCATGGATGACACGTTTGTACTCAAGCAGCTCATTATGCTGAAGCTGTAGTTTTTAGCACCAGTATGGGAGCTAGGCTAGCCACATCCGATCTTCCTTGTGATAGCCTGAATATCATACCGCATTTCACTGGAAGCTGTTTCCCGTAACGCAGTGGGTATTTTGCATTGTGATGGAATCCAGGCTACCACTTTGTGGATCCTCCCAGCATATACTCTGATTCCATGTAGCTTGGAAGCCATTCAGGAGTTTCTGTTTGAGTTGGAGTTATCTCATGGGGCCCAGAGGCAGGTTTTGAAACCAGAACTCGAGCAGCTGAAATTGGAACCTGTTGGTGCGTAAAACTATGCTGGGCTAGGGGATCCACTGCCTTTGTTCAACTTGGTTCGAAGTACTCACAGTTGAAATGCCCCTCCTCACCAAACCCAGCAAAAGACCTGTTGCGTCTAATAGAGTGGTTAATCTGACAAACTTGGCCATTGCTGTCTTATACCCTGACCTACATGTACAATAGTTATTACTGCCCAGGCGTAGCCCATAGTAGCAAACTCAAAATCTTCACTAATGCAACGTGGAATGAGATGTGATCTGCACGGTCAATTGAATTTTGTTCTTTCTTGTTGCAGCAACAAGCACAAATAGATGCCCAGAAAATAGCCCAACAAGCCCAACAGCAACAAGCCCAAGTCAAGGCCCAGCAGGAGGCAGCACAGAGAGCCCAACAGCAGCAAGCCCAACAAGCCCAACTGAAAGCCCAACAAGAAGCCCAACAGAGAGCCCAACAGCAAGCCCAACAAGAAGCCCAACAGAGAGCCCAACAAGAAGCCCAACAGAGAGCCCAACAGCAAGCCCAACAAGAAGCCCAAAGGCAGGCTGCCCAAGAGCAGGCTGCCCAACAGCAGGCCCAATTGAAAGCTCAACAGCAAGCCCAACAGCAAGCCCAACAGCAGGCCCAATTGAAAGCTCAACAAGAGGCTGAACTGAAAGCCCAACAGCAAGCCCAACCGCAAGCCCAACAGCAAGCCCAACCGCAAGCCCAGCAGCAAGCCCAACCGCAAGCCCAGCCGCAAGCCCAACCGCNGCAAGCCCAACAGCAAGCCCAACAGCAAGCCCAGCAGCAAGCCCAACAGCAAGCCCAACAGCAAGCCCAACAGCAAGCCCAACAGCAAGCCCAGCAGCAAGCCCAGCAGCAAGCCCAGCTGCAAGCCCAACAGCAAGCCCAACAGCAAGCCCAACAGCCCGGTATGCCAGCCCCTGCAGCCAATCAGAACCCACCAGGATCACAGTAATCAAAAACCTGACTTCAGCAAACATTCCAGGGGACGATTTCACGAAACTAAATATAATCCAGCATTCCTACATTTGTAATGAAAACAAGTTGCACATTTCGTTTTAGAAATTTTATAGCAGCTCATGAAAAGTTTAAATGAGTTGGGGAGGTACATATTGAGTCTTTCCAAAGTCTCCTTTAATAAATAACAATTTCATTGTCTTGAAAAGAGTTGCATAAATTTATAAATTTTTTGTACACATGGCAGGAAATGTTTACTTTGCCAAGGAGAAACCTTGAAATTGCAAACTAAAGAACTGTCTTGTGTAACCTTTGTTCAGTTGGTCTTGATAGCCAGCTGCCTCTCTGTTTTTTGGTTTTGAGACATTGCGGAAAAAAAAAACCACTGGACTCCTGGCTGATAATATTTGACATTGTCTCACTGAAATCCACAAAACTTTGTTGTACTTAAATATGACGCTTGTGATATAACGCAATTAAAATGACCCCAGTAAAAATTCTTGGTCAGATATGTTGCATTGATTGATTTCTCATCATTGTCATAGCATGGGTTATGGGTGTTGACCAGTTTCGTGAAATCGAACCCACAACTTTTAAGGTATTGTCCTCGATTCGAAGGTGATGGGAAGCAACATACATTTAAACCTTAGTTTTGCCATTTCGAGGATCAATTTTTTTCTTTTAAAATCTGTTCCTCTGTTTCTGAAACCTTAATTTCATCTCCTTTCTAGGTCTATAAATCCCTCGGCATCATTTGAAAGCCTTTGTTAAGGGCTTGCACATGCAAATCAGAAGTCAAGTACATGTATACTCAGTTTAAAATGCATTCGTTTTCAACGAGAATTTCTTGGATTCTTTTCCGTCACTCTTGTGAATTCTTGTCATTCTCATCTGTAAAAATTATAATACATCTATGTGTGTCTTAATGATAAAGATGACCAAAGAAATTGAGTTCGGAGAGTTTTGAACCTGCCACCTCCAGACCACCATGCCAGTGGTCTACCAACTGGGTTCCCCCCCCCCCAGCCCTGTGTTGGTGGTTTTCTGGCTAGTTCTCCTGAATAACGATATTGACAATCGGGAAGTACGGCCGACATGGGGGCTGGTAGTTTAGTTGTTGGAGTGTATATTCATGGTTCCACAGGTTACAGGTTCGAATCCCACTCTGCTCAATTTCTTCGTTCATCTTTAGAATCAATGTGTAAGCACCCAGTCATTTTCCGTGTATGGTTTATTTCATGGTATGTGTATATTAGTTATTTATGCTAGTTTTTCTCTTCGGGGTCTTGATGACGAAATTGCAGGTAGCTCTGCTTAACATGTCTGTTTTTTCAAACTCTATGGGAACTTAAAATGTTATGGAAGCTCAGTCGAAAAAGGTCACATTTGGATTTTAACAAATGCAGTACTTTCCCACTAAAAATGTTGATAGCGACGAGGCAGGTCAAAAGTCAGGGGTCAGAGGTGATAGATCAAAAGTAAACACATTTACCTAAAGGAGGATAGATACATGTTAATGAACGAGATGCGAGTCATTACCTGGGCATTCATTGTTGAAGCATTTCCTAAAATCAACAAAATCTCCTGCGTCTTACATCCAACTTGAGGGGCAACATACGCAGTACCCCAGTTGGCTGTTTTGACGCCAGGACTCTATACTTCCAAAAGGCTTCAACGTCACTCAAACCATGATTGGAATGTCCTAGACTGATTTGGACTCACTAGATTTAAATCAGTGTTACAGTCGAGTTCTTTTGCTGGTGTAAACTGCAACCAATAAGGCACCTCCAGACCCCCCAACAAGTGTTAAAATCCAAAAGTGAACAAACGTCTTTGTGATTATGCACAGGCACAAAAATTCAATCATCACGCTCATGTGAAAAGGTGTCACATGGTCAATTGCATCACGAACTGTTGTATGGCATGTACAATGTCTATGGATGGTACGTCTCTTGGTCGTGCCCCAAAACTGTCGTATACTGTACATCACTTTGTGACGCAACCAGTGACATTGTTCACACTTAAAGGGGAGTTCAACTTTTCTCCTGGGATGTAGTTATACTTATGGGTATAATTTGGGGTCATGGACCTTTTACATGTTTTTAGTGTATTACTAGTGTTAAATCTTAATTGGTAGTGTACAACATATGCATGTTGCCGGGTGTTGAGATCGTGTCAAGGTATGGAGACATAGCATAGGATAGGTGAAGGGTACTGTGTCCATGGAAGTGTGTGCATTTTCAAATCTACTGGCAGTTTGACGTACGTCAGAATGTTGAGAGAATTCGAGGGTGCGTGCATTTCTGTGCACATCTGCACTGTATGTATGAGTTGAACACAAAGCATCAAAAATCAAGCGACTGAAAGTCGCCAAACAGATTACTTGGGGGCAACTTGATTCTGACTTTTTTCCTTTTTATATTTTTCTCCTGGAAGTGTTTCCCCCGTGTTGTTCCACATGCCCTTATATCAATATCCACTAAGAAGTATCATTTAAGAAGCACATGTATCTATTTCCAATCTCATTAAAACATTCTCTCTTTTTCTCTTAAAAGGATATTTTTCTCCTGACAAGGATCCCACTACCACAACTGTATTTGCAGTGTATACACCGCCCTCTGTTGGTTCATGAAAACCCCGATGATCCCAGTGAACTATGCAAATTTTTTTTCAGAGAAATAACGAAACTCGCACGATCCAGTTCCCACAGCTGTTACAACGAAGAAGTTTGATTGAATGACTGAAGCATGTTTGTCGCTGTTGCAGAAATGCAGTACGCCCTCAAAGGTGCATTTGAAGAATTAAAAGTTTTGGGTTGGGTCAACAGAGGGAGCCCCACGATGCCGAGTGATTGCAAAAAAACAAACAAACCATTTCTAGTGTAGTTTCATGTAGTGTAAACTTGAGGACGTAGACAATTATTGAATTGGGTCATTCCACGAAGTTCGGGCACAGTTTGTGACGGCGTCCCTTATTACATCAGTGAAAATTTTCCCTGCATGTGGATTCTAAATTGACATTGCTCTTGTAGTGGTGTGCTTCATCTTTGCTGAAAAATATGAATTAATCTGTAGTAATGAGAAAATAAAGGGCAATAAAAGTTACCGAGGTAACAAAGGACGCCGTCACAAACAGTGCCCGAACTTCATGGAATGACCCAGTTGCATTTCCTCGAGAGTTCAGCATTGAATGTTTCGTGCAAGGAGTGTTTTGTTGTATGCAAATTGTATTTTGAAAGGAAACTTGTTGCCAAATTGAAGGTGTTTGTTTTGTAATGTTTTGTTGAATATTTGTGCATGCTCACCAAACTGGACAAACCAGTTTGGGGTTTTTCTCTCAACCACCCGTGTATCAGGCTGGAATAAAATATTAGAAATCTATACGCCAAGGAGTAAAATGGCACCGGAAACACAGCTTGTCACTTTAATGTACTTTTTTTCACTATACAGACATGTACACGATGGTTGAAATAATCATCTCAAAGCTTACTGTCAAATACAACGGTGTCCTGAACTTTACAAATTTGTAAGTTCACGATGCATACCCTAAGGGGCAAGTCTTATGCTGATATTAGTAGCCAACTTCACAATCGAATTATACAAACTTAAATTGACAGCATGTTTATATAACTAGCTCTTTGGAAATCTGAACAGAAGTTGTGCAGGAACACTGGACTTTCCATTCTGAAGCCATTCCGTGTTCGTGCTCGTTTTACCTAGTATCAGCGAGACACAATTGATACAGACCTTTTCCCTACTGCCTTCCATGTGGGGTAGGCCAGTTTGGAGTTCACTGTTTACCTCAAAATGGACACCCCTAGATAATGTTACAGAGGGTTGACACTTGTCAGAGCCAGGTGTAGAGAATTGCGACATGAGTGTCGGCATTACTGGAAACCAACTGGCAGGTGTATAGGCCAGTGCACATGGACAGTATACAATGGCCACATGCTCTACTGTACACACATTGAGCAGCCATTTTGTTTCCGAAATCTGAAGCTGGTGCTACTCTCTCTAATATGCAACTCTGGCACATGAAATACTATACAGTATACATTCGGGCTTCATGAGATTTTCTTGAGATTAACACAAGATCTGTTCTTTTGCTTGTGTAATAATGCCCGGCAATAGTTCTCCAGCCATTGGAAGGCCAAAAGCTACAACAGTGATGTAAACGGAGAATTCACAGGTGTATAAGCTTGATGCACCCCACAGCTAAATTCCGTCACATCAATTTAAATATATGCGCCCTTTCCAAAACAAGGCCTAACCATCCAGCGATTGTCAGACTAAATTTCAACAAATAGCAAGGCTTAAGACCACTGGAGTTCTATCCATACCAAGCTGGCCCCTAAAAATCAAAGTTCACCACAGAGGTTATGCGAAACACATCCTCAGAGGACAAAAGCTTTGTATCACTTGGACTGGCTCAAGTAAACCTTGTTTGCTGTCGTATTAAACTTTAAAAAAACGGCCTCTCATACACCACAGAGATGGCAGCAACGTTTTACTCTATAGGTACAATTTCTTGGAAGGGCCTGTTTATTTGACACGGATCTGAATCACGAGGTCCCTAGGCTGGTTTGTGCTCCATCCCGTTACACAGGTTCTGGTGTCAGTGGACCAACAATGGATCACTGATCGTAAACCAGATCTGTGAGAAACAAAATGTCACCCAGCAAAACGCGACAACATAAAATGCACGCGTTGCGATCGTGTCGCTACAAACAAAAAGGACACGCCCGAACTACATGGCTTTTTTCTGCTCAAGACAGAATTCCTGGAATATACCCCCTCACAAGAACGATAAGGTACCCATCGATCACATGACAGTCCCCACTCTCCAACAGCTTTTCATACCAGAAACAAAAATGTTCCATTTTTCTTCCACCTCCAGTGATCCTTCTTCCTCTAACGTTTACAAATCTCATCTAAAATCGTAACTATTTTCCAAAACAAGCGTATCAACATCATAACATTATTTATAGCGAATATTAACTGACCTGCAAAAATAGTTAATATAGAGATTACACAAAGATGGCTTTATTAATTAAAGTCAAGCAAGTGTAAAAAGGTAATTCCAAATACAGTCTCTGTGTGTCACATTTTTCTCGCAATTCACCTCTTTAACTTTGCCCCTCGAGCGTTCATGGCGAACCAACGCATCCGCTCTGGATACCCGTAGAAGTACCGTGTAGTGTACAGTTTTAAAAAAATACCAATTCTCTCTCTTCATTTTTCCCCCGATCGTCAAAAAATAATTATAGTACAAGTTTTCTGTATTTCGAAATGCCATTCATTAATATTTCAGGTGTTCCAGTTGGTTGACAGCAATCCACGTGGCCGGAGAGTAAAATTTGATTGGTGGAAAGGCGGTCACATGACTAAGGAATGGCCATGAAACAAACTAGTGTTCAGACATGCGCCACTTGAGTGTTGAAAACAATTCGGTTTCTTTTTTTTTTAATTAATACTGCATAACTAGTATTTTAGACAAAATAAAAATCATTCACAAGGGTTCAACTTGTTTGGCATCTTTCCAAAATTCTGAGATATTATTTTCCCCTTTTAAAAACCATTTCAGCCTCGGGTTAGTCGGTGTGACGTGAGTTTTAGCAATAAGTACATCTGATTTTGCCAAACACATTATCAATATACTTCAGCCTCCGTTAATCAAAACTGCCATGGTGAAACGTACCACCAAGTTCCTTTTTTCAAAGACAGCATGCCTTCCGGACATCTCTCAAATGAAACTTGACTCACTCTCTAAACTTGTGATCGTTACTTGGGTAGGACTAGGATTTAATTAAGTAGTCAACATTAGTAGCAATACTGCTCACAGAATTTGGACGTCAGTCTGACCAAGTAGATAATTCATGTCGCGGCTCTTCTGGGAACTGATGAGTTACCCCTGCCTCAGTTGTCAGACAAGCTGGCCACCCCAAAGAAAGGGTCCACCTTCCGTTTGCGGCACTTCCGGAGGAGCCGGCGGTCACCGTTGGGCACCCTGAAGGAATACTGTGACTCGCCCACGCCGGGGGCTCCGTGGAACCCGCCGATGTCGGCCTTGGTGCAGTAGACATACTGACCGTCTGGAGCGTCGCTGGTGCACCTGAAAGGGAACATCGCAACCGGTCACATTGCAATGAATGCATCAGAATGATTGAGGTTTGTCCAGTGCCGTAGCTAGGTTTTACGAGAGGGGCAAGGGGCACCAGCATCTAATGGGGGGCACCAGCTTTCAGTGGAATTTGTGGGGGGGGGGGTACGTCCACCCCAGGCACCCCCTGTGTTTATACGCCACTGGGTTTGCCAAGGGACAGTGTGTTAACTTCAATACCAGCGAATGACTGTTGAAATGGCCATCTAATTGTGGTCTGGCAAAATTAACGATAAAATATAGATGTTTCTTTGCATCACGTGACAACCAATTAACATCTTCATCTGAAGCTGTTTTATTTCATTAAATTAAAATATCACGTCACTAGACCAGTGCCCATAAATTTGTGCTCAACTCTGGGCAACACTTCTGACCATGGTGTTTGAAGATTAAAGAGATGTGGCCACGCTGGAGAGACGGCCGCCTCTCTCAAACTCTGGCTACATCTCGGTTCCGGCTCTGCCTGATATCGCTGACTCAAGAGATGATCTACGCTAGAATAGATCGATTATTTACGGCGGGAACGTCAAAAAACGTGTATGATAAAAACAAAGGAGATTCACAGTTAGACCCAAACGTTAAAAGCAAACAAACTAGTTCTTCAGCCAGTGCCCTAGCTAGAAGCAGAGCAAAAATACGACGCCCACCTGCAGTAGTCGTCCCTCCCGTCGCCGTCCTCGTCTCTCATGTACCACGTGTCCATGTGGCCGGCATCAAACCGCTCGCCGGACATGTAGTTGTACTCGCTGTGGTTCTCAGTGCCGGCTAAAGCGCAGGCTAGCTGCAATGACGTGTCTAGACCACGGGTCGGCGTCATGATAATTCTGTGTAAGGGTGAGGAAATGACCTTTATCTTCACTATCATTTAGCGTTGTTACTTTCTGGATATGAGGTTGAAAGAAAATTCATGCCCCTGTTTATTCAAAGCTAGTATACCTGTTAGCGTGTCTGTATTCCCCTATTTGAAATTAACAATGGGAGCTGTAATATCCTGTGCTGGATATAAGCTTGAGTTGTTCTGACGATTGCTTGGTTTATTGTGTGCCAGATGCAGGAGTACAACTATACTATACACATATACACTCTATACATGGGGTACAATGATTGATGGGTAGCAGGTGGGGCCCTCAGGATCCAGAAGAGGGCAGAGCTACAAGGACATTCTAAAATGGGTACCGTTGCTGGGTAGAGTTATGGTGGTCAGGAGTGGACGCGTAAGAGCGCGGGACACTACAGGAGCAAGCACATCAAAACCCCAACTCTCAGATGTTCCAAATTGGGTCAAATTATTGTAAATTCCAGGACATGCGCAGTGGATTCTGTCAGTTGTAAGACTGCCCAATTTCAATACAAAAGGCCACCAAAATGTGCGCATGGTTTATTCTATAAATTCGGGGACCAAAAGTGTGATATTTTTATGTCTCGGTTACACCCGACCTGTGTCATTTGACGTGGAAATATCACTGAAATTGATTTAAAACTATTTCTAGTGGTTAAGCAGGTAATTTGCATTAATTCATCACTCCTGGAATACGGAAAAACGTTCTGGATTTACAAAATCATATGTCAGATGTGACACAGACATCAAACTGGACCCCTATATCATATAGAATGACCCATGTATTATAATCTTGCAAATCTTATGTGAAGAACGTCTGAAAATGTACCGTCCGAACTGCAACTGTTGATTACAGCTAAGTTTTTCAAGAGCGCTCACAATAAATCTTTCATTTACCAAATCACCAAAAATGAATTGGCTTTTGACAAAGAAAAGTTTGGTGACTTTACCGACAATAGTCGTTGGCGGCGCCCTGTCCTGTGACGTCAACCCATCCCCGGAAGTATCCCTTCAAGCCAGCGTCCGTTATGTCATAGCGACGAGGCTTGATGGCGGGCCTTTGATCGCCGTCGCAAGGTATCGCTTGGAGCTCTAGAAAATGTACCAAAGTGAAACCTTACGTGATAAGGATTTGGCATTGCCGATGAGTGTATAATGCAAGTTGGAATGTCTATGGACTATAGATTAATCGGAGGATACGCCCTTATTGCCAAGCCATCACACATACACACGACCCTGGGAAAAAAAAATTTGTTTACATAACAAGCTGGAGATGTCTGGCTTGAATAAAGGCTATTTAATCGTGGCTCTGGAGGATTTTTTTCCAAAGGGAAGTATCCAATATCTCAATAGGGAAAGCGTCCAGGAGGATCATGATGACTAGTCTCCTCTCAAGAACCAGTTTCCGATAAGAGAGTACTTGTCCGTCCCCAACTTGTGCAAATAAAAACAACAAAACACGTGGACCAGGGTCTTCTGTTAACTTAAGTGGCAAGTCATAGCACAATGTCTGGGGAATTGAAATTGTTACGTATGTCCAATAAGACAACTCAATCAGTATACCAGATTGTATTCAAATGGACATAACTCGATCGTGAAAGGCTTATTTGGTGGCAAGATTAGTCTCCACCCTTGGTCAATCTCTTCTCAATTCCATTCACTGGTCACTTTTTTTTTCCATAAAAGTGTGGTGCACAAGGGCATCACAGTAGCCACAGGGAGACCTTGGGGGTGCACGTGCAATTCCCGATGCCCCCAGGTGCCCCCTCCCCCACAAAAAAACAGATGAATGGTTATTGATTAGGGCTAACAAAGCTTGCCCCCCACAAAACCACACCACTGAAGTTGGTGCCCCCCCCATAAGATGCTTACCCTTGGGCCCCCCACTAGTAAAATCCTAGCTACACCACTGGTGCACTATTATAGCCATGACTTTCTTGGGCAAAATCAGCATAAAGTCATGCACTGCTCGCACCAGCAAGTAAAATATACCAGATTGGTTCATAACATTCAAAAGATCGACCTGCATTGACTCAAACAGCTGTGAAAGTTGTCTGTCTGAGCAAGGCACGTACTTTTAACAACATGCGTTACTCTTTGTAAGTTGAGTTTGTGAGCCAGCCCTTTTAGCCCTCAATTCACAACAGGGTCATCCCACGAAGTTCGGGCACAGTTTGTGGCGGCGTCCCTTGTTACATCAGTGAAAATAAACATCTTTTTTCCCTGCATGTGGATTTTAAAATGGCATTGTTCTAAATCTAGGTTCTTGTAGTGGTGTGCTTCATCTTTGCTGAATAATAAGACTTAATCTGTTGTAATGTGAAAATAATGGGCAATAAAAGTTACCGATGTAACAAGGGACGCCGTCACAAACTGTGCCCGAACTTCATGGAATGACTCAACAGCGAGTCAAAAATGAGTATACAGTTCTTGATAACGCAATCTCTGAGTACGTGTGGTTCTGATAAGAACTGGAGGGAACTCAACGTTTCGAACAGTATGCTCGGTCTGTCATCCTATGTGACCGCATCCCACAAAATGAGTCTCAAGGCCATTTCCTAAAGCAATTAATTTGCATTAGAAAGAGCAAACCATGAGATTTCTGTTTTGATATATTATTCAGTTAACAGCAGCCTGATGAAACCAATCAGCGTTATGTGGGTGAACAATGCCAATGGTTCATGTTGGTTTTCTCTGTGTAAAATTATTTTCAAGGTCATTAAACTCAAAAGTGGCTCTATCAACTTGTGACTTGTTTGGTTAGGTTGCATCTAAACATATACAAACTTGGGCACGGTTGGCAGGATGCGTTCTCCATTCCAGGCGTCTTTGGTGGGTCTACTGATGATGTCTTGTTCAACATTGGGATGGAGACCTCATTATCTGTTGTGGGCGTGGCTGGTCCTTCCAACAAAAAAATTCCAGTACACTTCAAAGCTAGACTATCAAGGTTCATATTTCACTTTTGCAAATAGCAATCTGCTCTAAAGTTGATGTGACACTATTACACATGGACATCTCATCATTGGCAAGATTCAACGTAATCGAAAAAAACTTGTAGCAGTTAAGGTCACTGGTATTTCACACCATCATCTGCGAATCGGCACACTTTTCCTGCATGCCGCCAAGAGGATTTCACTCGAGATATTTCCGAGAATGGTGCGTCCGAATCATACACAATTTACGTCAACGGTGCTCAACAGGTTGCTGTGAAAACTTCTAAAAAGAATTCACACTTGGCACAAAAATCAAGGTAGTGATATAGAACAAGTAGGTTGAGGGCAAATTCTGCCCGGACCTTTCAGGGTTAAACTCACTTCGACTGATGTTGACCATGGCGATCGACGACACCACAAAGAACTCATTGTTGAGCAAGCAGCCGTACTTGCCCTCATGCTGTGACGTCATCTCCCTCACCGTCAACGCCCCGCCCTCGATGATGTAGGACGGCGACACGGTCACATTGATTGGCTTGTCGTTGAAGAACCACGTGACTTCAGGCTTAGGCTCGCCAGAGGCTGCACAGAAAAGGTTCAGTGCGCTGCCGTTCTCGACAGTGGTGTTGGTGAGGCCGTTTGTCAACTTCAAGCTTGGCTCTATTGATCCAGTAAACCGAACAAACTTTAATGGTCACGATTAAGAGTCTAAAATAACAAAACTTAAAGAACTTTACATAATTCTGTGAGCCTTCTGTGAGTTACATTTAAACAAAATCTCATGGATGTACACAGAGTTCTTTAAATCCATGTGAATTAACAATTTGAATTCTCCACACTAAAGACACTAGTTGCTGTACCTCGTGATTCGGGGCAAGCTTTTGCTTAATTACATATGAGACGCCTTGCACCAACACACAATTTTCAATGGATAAGAAGGGCACAAAGGAACCAGTCCATTCCATAGATGGTGGTTGCTATGCAAAAGCTTGCCCCGAATCACGAGGTATAGCAACAGTGTCTTTAGTCTGGAGAATTAAAATTGTTATGTTTATGTGCAATCAGATAACTTAGTGTACCAGATTTTATTCAAATGTGCGTAACTCGCAAAAGGCTTATTTGGTCCCAAGATCAGTCTCCACCTTTGGTCAATCTCTTTTCAATTCCATTCACTGGTCAGTTCTTATCTTCTACGAAAAAGTGTCGCCGCTCATATCACCAAAAAATATACCCGATTGGTTCACAACATTCAAAACACCTGCAATGACTGAACTAAAACGGCTGCGATGCTGTCTATTTGTCAAGATTAAGAGACTAAAACAACACAACTTAATTAACTTATAATTCTACCAGGAGAGTCAGTCATAACACAGCCGGTTTCATGCAATGCACGTAAAGTTCCCATGAACTGGTTGAGGATCGTTAATCACCTGTCACTCAATAAGGCAGTTCGATATTTCAACAACACATGCTTAAAAGTGTTGGAGGCCATTCAAGAACAAGCCTGGTTGGCCCTGGACTTGAATCAAGTCGGACTTATATTGCTCTTCCCCAGTCAGCCATCCCCTAAGCCTGTACGCACTACACGGTCGTTGTGCTCGGCCCGGCAGCTCGCATAACCTTTAAAAGCTGCCTCATTTGATAGGTTTTATTGTACAACATACATATATATTGTACAACGTCATACGTCACCAGTCAGTAAGTCCGACTTGACGGATAAGCCAATCGGACCCCCTCTTGCATATGAACGACATGATCCTGCATAATGAATACGGAATTTCCACCAATCAAAGTAGTCAGACAGACTCAGACAGATGCGCACTGTACACGTTTCAACCAGGATGACGTCAGGTACTTAATTCCGTTATGCACGTCTAGCCTTTTTGAAATACCAAACGGGACCTATCTCGAAGTTCCAACACTCACAAGCAGTATCTAAAATCACAACTGATGGAGAAATTACTAAGGAGGGAGTTATAAAAGGGATACAGGTATGATAGCTTAGAAATGGCACTTAAATGAGTAAAACTTTCTTTGATGAACGTTAAAAATTACTTCAGCTTTTGACTTTTTTCTACTCTTACCAACGACGCGGAGTTCGCCTTTCACTCTCTTGATCCCGTTCACGTTAGCTGCCACGCAGCTGTAGGTGCCGGAATCTCGCAGATTCAGGTTCCTGACCTGCAACTCCTCCCCGCTCTCACTGACGGTGAACCGCGCATCCCGCAGTGTATCGATGCTAAGGTCCTGCAGGAACCACGCCACCTGTGGCGCAGGATCTCCCGAGGCTTGGCAGGACATGCGCACATCGTCGCCCACGAAGGCGGTCTTGTTGGGCAAGGGGGCGGCAATTGTGGGCAACTGCCAATGCTCTGTGATAAGTGTTGGAGGAAGAGATCTTCAAAAATGTTCTAAAGCTATAGTCAAAACTTAATCTAAACCACGGAAAATCTATTCCAACATCATTGGCTCCAGTAGGCACACGTCCAATTCTCAGCCATGATCAGAGTAACTAGGCCGGGAACTCACCTATGACTTGAAGTTTAGCACTAGCTGCTATGGCTCCGGCCTCGTTGGCTATCTCACAATGGTAGACGAACTCCTTATCGGCGGGCTGCACACCGGCGATTCGGAAGGAATTGGTATTGCTGTCGATGGAGAAACGCGGGTAGATGTCGAAAGGCATGCTGATATTCTGAATCGGAATGAAATCGAAAATAAAGTCGCTATTGGTGCCGAGACTTTTTCTTCGTCAATCACGCTTGAGAAGCTTAATCTGAAATATTTCATTCGAAAGCAAATAAGAATTCTTGCCACACAATGCTTAAGAAGCAAATAATTAACAAAATGCCTTTTTATATCTTCAAGTAGTAGTTCCCTCCTTGCAAAATTTTTCTAGGGAAGAAAAACACGATTGAAAGGTACATCATATCAATTTGACATTCAAAATCACTTTAGGCTGAAGTAATGCAGTCAGAGGAACGGCACTCTGCGCCCCGACCGTGACCAAGAGAGGGCGCAATTTTCCTGGCAATGGAGGCTCCTCTGGTAGGAACTGCCCTTTGTTGATTCACAAACAACTATGAAATGCACGCGTTACAGTCGCATCGCTAAGAACAAAATGAACACTCCCAACAGCACTGCTCTTTGCAAATGATGAAGGGTGTTTCTTCTCAAGGCCGATACAAGAGCCAAAAGCCAGACAGATTTCGTAAACAACACAGAAAAACTTTCAAAATTGAAATTTGGAAAGAGGTCATGTTCGCGCAAGTGTAAACTCCATGCTCAAGTTACTTTCGAAAGACGTCACCGGCAACCATTTTACCATGCCAAATACAAAGGTCGTTGGCATGCATTCAATAACGTTACTGCTGTTGCCAATAACGATTTGGTTAACAGTAGCAAGCAATTGCTTTGAATTACCTTTGTAATTCGCATGGTAAGGTGGCCACTGGTGGCTTCAATATCAATGAAATATGTGGGCTGATTAGGGGCACTGCCAGTTGACTAGTTGAGGTTTAAACGGACACAATAAGGAGGGCGCTATTTGGTTTTGGTGAAATTCTGGCATTTACTCCAAATTTACCCACTTTAAACGGTGCCCCCTAATGTACTGGTCTGCTACACTTCCATAAAAGCTAGTGGTGTTTGTGTGTTGAAGGCCTACCTCGCCGTTTTCGATACGCCACGTGACATTAAGTGGTTCAGTACCACGTGCATCGCATCGGAGAGTGACGTCATCACCTTCGGTAACCGTTTTACTAATCGGCTTTTCATTCCAACGAGGTGGCACTGGAGGCAAAGTAAACAAGGAAAAAGACCGCCATAATCTTACAACTGTAAATTTTCTTTCACGTCGTTTATAGTCAAGCTTACTTTCATCAGAGCAGTGCAGCTTTCTGTTTTGGTTTGTCTACTTGTTTCCAGTATATAACTGTAATCAAGAGGCGTGGTTCAGTGAGAGGAAACAGGAGTTTGGCACCCAGGAAAATGTCTTGTCTGCTAAAATGTAACAAGCAAAAAATCCCAAAAGTGCATCTAAACTATGTTTCCAAAGATGGGTTATCCCCCCCCCCGAAATATACTACCGTCCCCGAAGATATTGCATTTACAAAAATGTTCACATCGCTGAATTCACCAAAGCTACAGATTTTGGCACTGTGTTCTATGCTTTTTGGAGTATAGACTGCTTGAAAGTAAAGATGAACGAAAGGAAATTCAATTAACAGACGATATGTGGCGATTGTAAGCAGCAACATGATACAGCTGTGTATTTGAAAAGAACGATGATTTTTAAGAATCGACAGCCACCGCAAGACATCAGTTAAAGGTGGGGGATGACAGATTAAGATAAGATTGAAGTTCATACGAAAGTGCTGTGCTAAAAGAGAATTTCTTGATGTGGGTCACCACAGCTCACCAACTATGGAAGAAAAGACAGAGTGAATGATAGACAAGACAGGAAAGTTTCTTACAACCCGTCTCATGCTGAAGGATTGGTAAGTCCAAAGGGAACATTTGCTTTTCAGGGGTTTGCTTGAAAGTGCACAGACTTTGTAAAAAACAAACATTTGAAATGAAAGCCTGAACATAGATGCAAGGCAAGGCTGGATCCAGGTGGCCAACAGGGTCATTCCCCGCCCCGCTCGAAAAGGAGCCATTTTTAAAAATATAAATTATGAGAAAAACGCAATTTTGGGGGCCTATTCCCTTCCTTCATGGGTGCGTAAAAAGCCCCGAAATGGTAGTCTCACCCCTGGCGAAGGCCAGAAGTCACATGAAAAAAATTTCCAAACTGTTTCCCCCACCCCAACCCCATCCACCATAAAGTCAATTTGGCCCCAGAAAAGTTGAGTTCTGGATCCGCACTTGATGCAAGATGTTTGTGGAACATTCCACATTGCTGCGAAATTACAGAAATGTGTTTTCCTGCCTGAAAGAAACGGTTTGCATGACCGGATCGGGCAGGTCTCGATGGACATGGAACAGATTACGGAAAAATGAAACAGTGATGATGGAAGCAAGGAAATACACATAAAAAATACACCAACTGAAAAAAAGTTGGAGATCCTGAAGATGACTTGAAATAACCAATGTTCCATGGTAAACAAATTGATCAATGCTGGCACACCACTACAGCATGATGGCAAACTACCAATTAATAATGGTAAAAAGAGACGGAAAATGAAATTACCAAACTCTCATGAAATATACAAAGGAAAGGGAAAAGGAGTGGAAAAAGCCAAAAGTCACTTTCTCCCTGAAAAATAAAACGGTTTACATTCATGAGATGGTAGTAATGAAATGATAGTGGAACAACGAAAGCCACAACACTGGCAAACAAATGCAAAACACCCAGATGATGGAATAAAGTCAGAAGCAGCTGAAGAAGAGACTACTACAGCTCCTGCGCTATGTATGATGAGGTCACACGAAAGCGTGATGGCAGAGCGTGAACCAAAACGGCGATGAGGTTACCACACCGACGTACCGTTTACCATCAGACTAAACACACTGCTTTCGTTTCCCGTTGTGCCTTGGGTGACACACCTGTACTCGGATGTGTCGTTCGGCTGGAGGTCAGACAAGGTCAATTTTGACAGAACGTCTTTTGTGCCGTCCACGCTTGTCTCCATCATACCGTCCAAGGTTACTCTGGTGGGGTAAGAAACCATCCAAGCCAAACATTTCTAGTCTTCTCTACGACCCTGCATGTTTTCTTGAAACACCTTATAATAGTGGGGAAAAATTGCTTATACCGTAGACACTGCAATGTATGTAAAATAGTTTGGTCTCTATTCAACTTTCGGTCACAAGTCTACACAAAGATGACCTCAGACATATTTTAAGAAGCTTCGTTCAAAATTATAATCGATTCCCTGAAGCAGTATGACATCACCGGAGAACTTTGCGAATTGTTCGTGGCTCCACAATTCTTGCTATAATGCATTAAGGGATTTACTGTGCTATTTCACACGAGGGGATTTTTTATGTGGACAGAGTGATTTTTTAATTCTTGGTTTATTGGCTTCTATAAATCAGTACTTTCACAATTCATACAAGAAACCTAACTGTTGCTATGGGCATTAAGAGACTTTCTTCTTGGCTGATTTCTTTTTCTACTTCCTGTGTTTAGGGGTTTTGTCTCTGAAAGTAATTCTGGTAATTCTGTTAATGTGTACGATATGATCATGCTTTTAATCAAATATTTCCAGATTGCAAAATGCCACAGGGTTCAAACCTACACCAAGTTAAAGCTTAAACCAATTCAATTGTGTATGTAACTCATTTTGACAAAAGTTCCACAATATTCATTTTTGTGGAGCCGGTCACATTTGAGCAGAATACACCAACTTCCCTGCAATATATGTTCTCTCTAAAATACAGTCTCATTCCGGCCCCATCTGTCTGTTGAGGCCTAGTCCTTCAGGACAGATAACTCAAACTCTTGTGTAGCTCACAAAATGTCACTCGCACATGAGCGGGTGGCCGGTGCATTTTGTACGGAATTTTGCATCCTCGAGAAGATAATGTTATCACCTCTGATTGAAACCTGCTCTAATCTCCATGGTAACCAATAATCTGATATGCCCCATAGCCTCACTGACCGATGGCCTCCGACACGAAATTTTTCCAGCCCCTCCAATCTTCTACAACTGTTTCGCTGAACACCCAATCTCTTGATTGAAAATCACATACAATCATCTTGTACATTAAACCTCAGTCCTGCTGTTTAGGATCATTTGTAATGTATACTCATTTCATGCTAACAAAACCTCACTAACACAAGCCGTGTAAAAGAGGCCTCTAACTTTCTCGCCGTTCCTCGCGCGCTGTGTTATACCTGTCCTCGGGCAGATCGCCTCCAATCCTCTCCCAATGTATGCTCGGCAGAGGGAACCCCGATGCGGCGCAGGACCAGGTGACCGCCTCCCCTAAGTTGCCCGTCATGTTTCTCGTCGGGGGTTGGTATAATGTGAGAGGCACTGCATAGCGGACGTGATTGAAATGTTGAACCTCATCATCAGATGATGTTAAGTACCGAGACCACAAACTTCTTCTGCGAGCAAACCTTCCATACTGCTCAAAAGAGAACTTCGAATAACAGACCTAACCAAGTGATGTCTTTCAAACTTTGTCAAAACCCTTCCCAATTTTAAGAGTTACTGTATTGCTAAATTGTACAGTGCTAAGTTCAGTTGGTGTGACGATGCAATTAATAACATTGAAAGGTGGTGCTCTGCAATGAAATCAATGAGAACGCTGCATTACTGGTAACGCAACAATGCAAGTCTTGCCCACGGACAAGGGGAACAGCGACATGCATGGCTTGCAAGACTTACCGAGCACTCGGACGTGCACCATTTGAGTGGTGGATCCCAGTGAATTGGTGGCCTTGCAGTAATAGATCCCTGCATCGGAGGTACTGGCTGATTCCTGGCTCAAGAGGGCCGTACTCTCGCTCCGCCTTCAGCAGTAAGAATATAACACAAGAAGAAAGGTGATACCAAGAGTAAGTCACATAGAGGCTTTGCGTGGTAGCCATCTTACAGGGCAGTTCTTTTGTTCTGCAGGGAAACCTCCTTTGTGCATATCTTGTGGAACAAAAGCATGGCCTGCAACATGGCAGCCATGAAAACCATCTATACTATATGTAACACTCTACTCTATCACGCAGCTGCTGCGCATGTTCAAATGACTACAAAGGTATGTTTTAAGGAGTGTGTACATAACTCCGTTGAAATAAAAGCTGAGTTTTTAAAAAATGAAAAAATAAGTTCTAAGAATTTGCTCAAATGGTATTTTGATAGCTTATCTATATTTGGTGAAGTGTTTGCAGGAGAAGTTTACGATATTTTCACCTCATGAGGACCCGCTTGCCGTCCTTACGCTCCCATGTTACTCTAGGTTGTGGCGACCCCGTGGCCTGGCAAATCAACTCAAAGGGATCTCCTCTGTTGAGGGTCATGTTTAGTGGCATCTGCGTAATCTGGGGACGGGCTTCAAGGAGAAACACGGGAAATACACTATTTGCCTCTGTCTACTGACTCTCTTTGATCACTTATCATTTAACCCTAACAGTCCTCAATCCTTCACCTGTTGGAGGACTGAGGACTGTTAAGGTTAATCTGATGAGATGGTTGTGTTGATCGACCTAGTGTCAAAGTAAATTAAACTGAAATAATTCTCAGAGTGCTGGTCTGGATTGCAGAATGTCAAATTGTCGAACCCTGGTGGGTTGGAATGTTGGTCACCCTACAAGAGCCTGGTGTCAGATTTTTTTTGCCCCCTTGGGTGGGATTGTAGGTCCTCTTGGGTCAAAGTGATGTCCCACTCGTGGGCCAGACTATTGATTCCTCATACGCAGTGTTGTATTCCAGCGGCATCACAAGTCCCTGTAAGTCCCTGCAAGTCCCTGCAAGTCCATGCAAGTCCCTGCAAGTCCCTGCAAGTCCATGCAAGTCCATGCAAGTCCCTGTAAGTCCCTGCAAGTCCCCGTAAGTCCCCGCAAGTCCATGCAAGTCCCTGCAAGTCCATGCAAGTCCATGCAAGTCCCTGTAAGTCCCTGCAAGTCCCTGTAAGTCCCCGCAAGTCCATGCAAGTCCCTGTAAGTCCCTGCAAGTCCCTGCAAGTCCCTGTAAGTCCCTGCAAGTCCCTGCAAGTCCCTGCAAGTCCCTGTAAGTCCCTGCAAGTCCCTGCAAGTCCCTGCAAGTCCATGCAAGTCCCGGCAAGTCCATCACAAGTTATCAGTCTTAAGCCAATGCACAAGCTATTCAAATGAGCTGTGACAAAAGCATTCATTGTCATTAGTCACCCTGTAGTGCTTATGACTGGCCTTGTGACTGGACTTGCGAAGGGACTTGTGATGGACTCAAATACAATATTGCTCATAAGCAAGACAATCTATTCCTTTCACTGGGCCAAATGTTGACCTCTATGACTGAGCTTAGAATTCCGGATTCTAATGGGTCAGAATCTTGATCCCTCGTGGGTCAGACTGATAACATCCAGTGGATCGACTGTACCCCTCTTAATGGACTTTACTTTAATTCCCAAATGGGTCAGACTATTGTTTCCCTGTGGGTCAGACTTCTGTTCTCACACGAGTCAGACTTTTGACCCCTTCTGGCTCATAAACCTACGACTCCCGTGGGTGAAACTTTATTCTCACGTGGGGTCAGATATACCATTGAATCCTAAAAATGTATCAGACGTTTGATCTCAGAAAGGTCAGACTTTTTATTACAACAAGGGCCACTATCTGTTGACCCTGGTCAGATTGTTGACCCCGCTGGATCAAGTAACAGTTATCAGCCTTACCCATGACTGTGATCTTGGCCGAAGCCTCAGCGACTCCAGCATCATTCTCCGCCATGCACTGATAGAAGCCAGAGTCCTGGCTAGTGAGGTTGTGGAGGACCAAGATGGCCTCGCTGTTCACCACCATCTCGCTGACTATTCTGATGGTCAAAGGTCATAACAAAGGTCATGTCAGTGCTCCTGGAAGCGATCACAGAACATGTCACAATGAAAGTTACGGCTAAATCACATCTGATATCTGTGATTTATCATATGCAGGTTATTGCACGTAAAGTGAACCTGTCACAGACATCTTTCCTGGCACCCTCAATTTTGTTTCCAGACAATCTAAGCTTTCTCATTCATTAACAAATGTTGATTATCCACATCAAAGTTACTGGAATTTGTAATTGGTATAAAGTTGATTAAAACTATACGTACGTTACGGTCTGATTGATTTGGAAAGGTCGTTACATGGTCTTCTCAAATCCCCTTGACTGGTAAACTACAACTATAATTGTGAATCGTCTCATGGGCAGGAGCAAAGTCTAATGTTGGGATCATGCTAAACATGTTTGCAAGTTGGCACCAATTTTGCTCACTTTTGCTCTGGCATAGCGCCATCAACTCGCGACCACGTGTACTCCAGGGCGCCCTCGGCGTGACACTTTAGGGTGACCCCCTGACCCTCAGCGATCATGCTGTCTTGCGGGAAACCATCGATGACTGGAACCTGCGACACGGTGATGGTGGTCGTGGTCCCCGCCACTGTCGTGGTGTCCATCTGCTTGTCCGCAGTCGTGGTCAACTCATCTGAATATTCATTGCAAAGTATGGCAAGTCAAAGGTCAAAACCCCACAGGAACATTTCATTTAGAACCAAAAAGGTGCAGACTTGCTTGTTTAAAAGTCAGAAATCTTATGGAAGCATTGGAGTTGGAAGAAATTGAAATGTTTAGAAAAACATGAAAGGAATAGATTGCTTTGGAATAACAATCAAGCTCACTTCTGACAAAAAAGGCTTACACTAAATACTTTCATGAGTATCTTCATTTTTTCGCAGGACATGAAAACAAAAGCTGACGTAGCAAAGGTTTCAATAACCAATGTACCTCAAAACAGTTTTATGAACACCATGTGATACCTGTAGAGGCTTTGCATGGCAGCCATCTTGCTGGGCAGCTCTTTTGTTACCCTGTGGAATAAAAGCACTGGCCTGAAAGATGGGGGCCATGCAAACCCTCTATATAAACAAGTAGGTGGAGACTTCTTGACTGCTGTGGCACTGCACTCGCATGCACATTCTCCTTGACGCACACGTACGTTTGGCAAAATACGATACCCCATCGGTCGAAGTGGCACGTGGCATACCACAGTGTTGCATTTGAATGCATCACAAGTCCCTGCAAGTCCTTGTGAGTCCATCTTGAAGTCCATCACAGGTCTGTTCCTTGCTCTATGTTCAGTCTTAAGCTAATTAATTCACAAGATATTCAAATGAGCTGCGACAAAAGCATTCTTTTGTCATTGTTCACTCTGTTACTTATGACTGGTCTTGTGACGGGACCTGTGAAAGGACTTGTGATGGACTCGAGTACAATACAACCTGTCAACGAGTGCTGTGCCTCGTACCGTGCCGCAGTGCCAATTTCACCACAGGACAGTACACCAATTCAGCAGTGCAGGCAAAATCAGAGAGAGAAAACTGAAGATTTCGTTTCTTGTCAAGAACTTTCAGACAATAAAGCATGACGCAGTAACTGTGTTACTGCGGCCGCTTACTCAGTTGTAATCATGTAAGATTGAAGTTAGTGGGGAGAACATTACCAATTAGTCATGGGGAACCATGCATTTTGAACCATGCCCTAGACGCAGTGAATTTGTTAGCAAAGATTGCTGGGGATTTCATGCAGCAAACATAGGCGTCACAAATACTTGAAGGTTTCATTTGGTGAAAAGTGCACATTTAAAATTGGATTTGAAGGATTTGCTGAAGCAGGTATGTCGGTCATGTGCAATGTTCCTTGGCAACCGTTACTGTTTTGTCAGACTTAGGAAGATGCACAGAGTGAAATGTGATGGTGTGAATAATCGATGGCATCATGGATGACTGCATTAACTGTGACAGAAGAGTGCAGTGTCGCCATGGACGCGTGTGCTGGATGGAACCGTGGTGGTGAAAAAAAAAGATGCGGCGATGACGTCATGAACACGTACAACCCTTATCACCTGTCTCCTCTAGACCCATGCCGCAAGTCCGCAGGCACTCCTCCTTGGACGAGAAGCGGTTTTGGTTACCAAAGCAACCGCCGTACGTGAACGGCTGACAGGTCTGCGCGCCCGTGTCGAAGTACCAGTAGGGATAGTAGGTCCGGCAAGGGCCCACGTCCTTATGGAGGCTACAGTACTCTGAGGAAAGGAAACCGGGGAACAAACAAAACGGATGCAAACAAACAAACTTGGGGAAGGTGAGGTGAGCAGTTCTGAGTTAGTAAAACGCAAACGTCAAGCACACAATTACACCAAAACTGGTACCCGGTCATTTCCATTGGAAGCATGTGACTTCCCGCTGCGGTCATCAAGCTTATTCTCAGGTAGATCGCAGTATGTGAGATCCTGAACATTTGTACATATCTTCCACGATGCAGGATCATTCCCCAAATCACAAAACCCATGCATCTACACAACAGATTTCTCTGAAACAACATGCTATTTTTTTTTCCTCTTTTGGGGAAAGGACGGGAGAGGTTCTGAGATCGGGTCTGGGTCAAATTACAACCTGGGTTATGCTCATAGTGGGACACTTTTGGAGTGATTAAAATCATGCCAAATCGCACACAAAAACGGGCAGGATTACAGGGGACCAACTGGGGAGAGCTAGGCCATTGCATTGGCTTCAAGAGGGTTTTTATAAAATATCACGTCAGATGTTTGAGTTAGCAGAGTTCGAGTGATCCAACGGAAGACCTAGGTACATTGTATATGTCCTGCAGATCTGGCTTGGGCCATTTTTGCCCATGGTACGACTTTAGTAAATGACAGAGTGGGAACATTACTGTATTCGGCTTTAAGAGCCAAATGTAGTCTAGGCCCTAAGCTCTTTTACATTAGATTAAGATCTTAGGAACAGAGTAACACATCGACGAGGCTCAAGTCCGATGGCTTAAGATCAGAAAGAGACTTTCACTTGGAGTCTGAAGTTCCAAGTCAGAATTAGGAACCTGAATATCTGTGATGAAAAACGCCCATTTCCCTTATTTCTTTCCTCCTTGCTACATTTTTAGAAGAATATCATAAGATAACACGGAAAAATGGCAGCCACTGATACGGATTAAAAAAAGAGCTACGAATTTCTTATTGCACCCCCTAACAATGAGTCCAAACTAATATCTTTTTGATGAGTTGCAAGACGTCACCGGCAGTACGGATGGGGTTAGCATTGTATTTGTAAAGCCACTATCTGGTTTCTATGTTACCTGGCCTGGGCGGTTCATAATTGATGCATCTGCTTCGCTTCTCTTCCCGCCGAGGCTCGGGCAAGTTCTCGCAGGCCAGCTCAGCGGGCCAGGCAAAGCCGTGGTCATTCAGGGTCGATTCGCAGTCACGCCGGGCCTGCAAAAAAAGAGAGAGCTTTTTACATTAAACTCTTCAAGACAAACAAACCTGCTGCTTTTTATTTTTGGATCAAAATAGCAGAACTAAAATAACTTCAGAATTCTGAAACAGCAGAATAAAGCTAAATGTTCAGATTGCACTCCATATCATCCAATTAGCCCTACAGCTGGGGTCTGTTCTTCTGACGTCACAGTCCTGTTTTTGGCTGCTACTTTAGTTGGTCGTGGGTACATTCAAAAGTCAAAGAGCACTTCACAAAGTGTTAACAATCCTACGGAGCTACCAGAACACCAGATAATATATACTACTAAATACTAAACAAAAATACAACCCTCTTTAAAATTAATGGGACAAGTGTCAGTTTTGAAGGAGTTTGAGGTAAAATCGAAAACCAGCCCAAAAGGTGACATTTCTGTAGTCTTTGGCCACCCATACAAGTTGTAGGCAAAACAAGAGTGGCCTATAGCTCCCCAGTAGCATGAGGGGGCAACTGCCCCGTGGGAACTATTACAACCCCTAACCCCTCCCCCTGCGAAAAGCCTGGCTACAAAGCCAACGTCGATCACCAACTTCCCTAACAAGTGGGAACTCCCCCCCCCGAAGAGCTTTGCTACGCAGCGGCTCTCATGCAGATCACATAGTCTTATCTTATTTTATAGAAAGAACTTAGGCTGAATAGTTCCTTTTATATCCCTTCAATATCACAGAGAATAATCAACAACCATCAACCAGCTACTCCACCACCGGTACCAAAGCAGGGTGTTGTTTTCTCGTTACAGAAACAGAATTGCGTTCCAATAAAGTCAAAAGAAAATTGACTACGAGGACACAATTAATGGTCATAGTTGTAATGAAAACATTCAACTGTTTTCATTTTCAAATTTCATCATCCCAATTTGACATAAGCTATTGTCACTAGGTGAAGTTTGCGGTGACTATCAATTTGCCGTACAAATCTTGCCAGTAAAAACTGCGACTTGTGCGCGACTGTCGACGGCAGGTTTGTGCATGTAGATCGAGGTCAGCACATGTAGATTCGATTAGACAACAAAAGTGGTTTCTCCAAGGTTAGTTTGCCAATTTGTGACCGGAATTCGAACCGCGACCCAGGCCTCGTCCAACCGTGAAATATTAAGGATTAGAATTCGTCTAGCCAATTACAGTAAAAAAAAAGAACCTGACGGGCGTGTACTATATACTTCCAACTGGATGCGTCACAGTTTGCTTGTCAAACTTAAACACCTGCACGAAGCCCGTTCATCTCCAAATCATGAATCATGAAAAATATGATTTGTGGATTATTGAATATGCTTGGACGAGGGGCCAAATTTAATGGTCCCTACAACTGAATTAACTCCACCGGGATGACCGGTCCCCTGGTGTGGCGTGTGGGGCCTGCTTGTATGGCCATAACACCAAAAAATGCATATTGCACCTGGCGCGAGACCTTGACTTTGCGGGCACCGAGGGGTCCACCGTGGCCAATTTGCACCGCGTCCCTGGGGTAGCTCTCCTCCACGGAAATCTCGTCCCCCAAGCCCCACCTGATGAGAGGGCCAGTTGATGAGCTCGAAAGGGAGGTCACCGCATGCAAGACACCCTGAGTGGCATTCCCAAATTAAAGTGTTTACTCCGAATAATAATCACGACTATTCACTTCGAAGGGAAAAAGTTGATTGGATTTCAGCTGCGACTTTGCCAGGACTGCAGATATGTTTTGCCCCCAACGTTTCGATCAAAATATGTTTGTCTATACTTTCACAGTTCAAGCTTACACCCGGCTGTCCTGCAACAAAGACGAGGTTATTAACAATCTGCATTATATACCAGGCATATAAATCTTTTTAATTATCGCTTCAAAATCGACAAAAAGGCCAAGAAGTCGATGTATACCCTTATTGCTATCTTAGTCTACTGGAGGCATCAAGCTGAGGTTGTGTACTTTGACAAATTACAGCTTGTCAATTTGACATAAGAACAAGTACCATGTGACGGCAAAAGTATCTGACGATGAAAGACTATCTTGTCAAAGGGCGAGCTATGTCATGTCATTTTTAGGCGCCCTTTGAACTTTGCCAAAGCGACAAGTTTCTGGTTAAAGGCAGACGATCAATCATGCCTGGATTCAAGAGGCTAGCCAAAGCGGAGTTTTAAAAAATAATCATAATTTGTACTGCCTTTATCTTGTTGGCCAAATTTTCCCCAAAATACAAAACTTACCCCCCCAATTAACATCTTAAAAGTTCCTGAATCAACCATTGACAGACAATCACTCTAGTTTTTGTTAAAGCCCACTGTCTAACACTTCAAATGGTTCTTCTTTTACACTTTATGATCAAGTCGGGTCATCTTTTTTATTTGAAGCTCTTTCCAACCATCACCACACGGTAGTTATTATTTTAATATCAAACGGAGATGCAATCGAAACCAAACCTCTTCGTAAAACCTAAACACTGCAGCCGAGTCACGTTGTTGCTATACAAGTAAGGTCATACGGAGGTCAGATATTCGTCATTCCTGTAATTATAGTAATATCGAAGAATCGAGAATCGAGAAACCGAACCCCAACCTTGTCAACCTCTATTACGCTAGCTCAGAGATTAATACAAACCAGATTTTCATATGCGCACAGCATTTAATACCTGACAAGATTTAGACACGGGATCGTGCATCACTACCAAATATGGTTTCGATTGGCCGCAAAAGAGGAGAATAGTGTCGATCCTCTTGGCACAGCTGGGATCGACTTGAGAGACTTGAGCGTGACTCCATTCTGTGAAAGTTATTTTTGCCGTTCCCTACTAATGACATTTCAGATATAAAGCGAAGTTGAGACATCAATTGTCCCCACAAACCCCCTGCAGTCCATCACAAGGCCATCACAAGTCGTTCGCCAAAACGTTTTTACAACGCAAGGTCCAAAAACTGAATTTGAACTTTCCCCGTGAAGTGTTCTTCACAACACCTGATAGCCAGGTGAAGACCTTTGACGTTTCTGTTGTTTTAGTTTCAATTTTGGTTTTGCTTTTCTCTTTTTTTATTATGTCTTGTTTCCAGATGCTTCATTTCTAAGCAAGGTTCGTTTTCTATGCAACTTTATTTACCTTCTTTAAAAGCCAGTAAAAAAACATTTAAAGGCACGCGGTTCAAAACAGTGGTTTGGAGATCCCTACAACACTAAACATTTTGTAAGCAAAAACAAAAAAACACTATCACAATTTGTAGATGATCGACAGGTCGATGATTTGCACACCTGGTGACGTCGTGGTGAGATCACGACCGTTGCTTCGGGCACGCTTAATAGCACTACATGACCCAGAACAGACTGCCAATTTCGATCATATTACTTCATACTTCACTTTACCATCGTGAAGTCAATATGCTTCGACCGTTCCCAGGTTGGCCCACAAAAACTCGCAGGCTGTTTACAAAACCAACAAAGCGTGTTATCTTAATGTTCGACTCGGCGCTCCATATGCGCCGATAACTATGTCCGAAATGCCAATAGTTTGCACGTGCGACAACATTTCTGCATCAACTGTACAACAGCGGCCGTTTTCTTCGTTTCGGTTATTGATGGATATAAGGAGTAGACCATTATTTCCAGACATGGCAGCTAGTCATTTTTTGCAAGTCCAAGTCAAGTCACAAGTCAGCTTTTGCAAGTCCAAGTCAAGTCACAAGTCAGTTTTTGCAAGTCCAAGTCAAGTCACAAGTCAGTTTTGCTAGTCCAAGTCAAGTCACAAGTCAGTTTTGCTGGTCCAAGTCAAGTCACAAGTCAGTTTTTGCAAGTCCAAGTCAAGTCACAAGTTAAAGCTGGCAGTTACAAGTCAATCACAACAGACACTTGAATCGGAGCAAGTCGAGTAACTCGTCGCCACAAACAGCCATTTTCGGTGAAACATAAGTAACGGTTCAAAGTTCAATGCTCGGTAGATCGGATGTCAAAACCACGAATGTCAGTCGAATATCAATGGCAAATTCAATGTGGACTTTATCATTAACGTAAGGGCAGCGCCAGCAGGCCTATTGTTTTGTTGAGTTGCGTCTCTCTGAACTTTGAATGAAGATCGATTATAACCATGTTCGTTTCGAAAACTATGCTGTGTTCGTCCAGACGAATTTCCACTGCATAAAGATTCAAGAAAAAAAGCTTCGCAGGTTATCGGAGAATTCATGAAATATTCATGAATGGAATGTAGCTGGCTCCTTCGAAAACCTAAAAAACAAATAAGTAACTATACACATTTTTACATATAATACAAAATCATACCGCAAACTATTTTCTCTTTCCGAGGATGTATATCAGTATCTCTCAGAGGGGTTCTGATCAACACTTAAAATTATTTTGGAAAGTTCTCTGACAAAATTCACAGGAGTTTCTCATCTGTGGCAGATTCACTCGACCGCACATACACTGGACTGCTCACGCGCAGTAAGTGCTACGCGCTCGTCACTAACATCCTGGTGAAACTAAAGATCTTTTGCAAAATTCTCATGCGTGAAAATCCACTCACTGCTTTGAAATGGGTCAAGTTAATAAGTTTACCTTTGACAAGGGAGGTTTGCAAGGGAACGATGAATCGAAGCAAGTCGCGTGTGTCTGTTTACAGAGAGTGCATTCATTTCGACAAAGACACATTTCTCTGTTATGTCTGTCAGAAATTGATGGCACAGAAATCCAACACACAAAGGATCCCAGACGATATAATGGAGACGACCTACAGTTGCCACCAGCAAAAATTTATGTTATGTGTCTGGGTAAATCTCGTTGCCTTTTTGCCTCCTTTGTTCCCCGCACAGTCAGAGTTTAAAAAAAAAGCAACACACTTCAAAGGTGTAGTGTTGTGACTAAATAGATTAACAGCTTTGCTCTATTAATGGCAAGCCTTCTTCGCCGCCTCATTCTAGCTCGTCCTGAGTCATCCCATTTCCCCTTTGACTGAGTTCGACAGCACGAATCGGTATTCGAAAATATGAAAGAATCGATGAGAAAG